TAAGGAATTGAGCTCTGCATTTAGCCCAAGTTCCAGCATGGAAAGTCTGGCTGTTCATCAGGCTCAATCAACTCAGAGTCAACCACACTTCATCTACCTGTAAAAGCCCAGAAAGTGAGGTGGAGATGCATGCACCCTTAGCTCTCTGCCAATTGTGGTGAGGCTAACAGCCCAGCCCCCTTGGCCCTTTTCTCTGAGAACATGAAAAGTTCCATTGTCCTAGCTGCATGGTAAGTCAGCTGTGGCCGGAGTACTGAATATTGGATATTGACCCATTATTGGAGGCATCTGACCACTCTCTATCACTGAGTTTCACACTACTGAACTGCTGTGTTTTGTCTATATACCACCTCACCCCATGGTATTTTATTCCTCACACCATGGGTAGTCTAGAGGTCCCCTTGCCCCATGGTATTTATTTCCCTACACCCTGCTTAGTACAGACCATTCTATTGTATTCTTGGTGTTCAAACCTTCATTCTTCTTGGCTTTTGTTTGTTTTATGGGTTGAATGAACCTAAGTTCTGCTCTGTGTCTCTATCCTTAAATGACCTCTTTAGTTATTCCTACTGTTTCTTCCTTATGTGGTCATTTATTTTCTCGATGACTTCAACTGGGCCAATGATGGGCTCCTGCCCCTTTCTTGGCATCGGAATTACTACCGGGAAGTGTGCTGGTAAAATGCACTAAGGATTACCTCAGACGCATCGGAGAGCTTTGGCTTCACATCAAGGACTTCGTTTGACTGATTAGAGAGCCCAAGTTTGGATCCTTCAATTCTCTACCTGTATCTTCTGTCTGTCCTGGACTCTGCTCTGTATTTACTGAACAGAACAGAAAGCACAGCACGGAAAACGGGAGATTTGTTACAGAATTCAGATAGTTTTGCAAGGTATTAAGTAAGTGATTCTAATTGACCCTGAGATACTCAGTACTACAAAAATACCTTATCAAGTTATATCCACAGGTTCCTCCAGTGATTGTGATGGATATTTGCTATATACGGTCACTTCCAGGCTGTTGGCCACTTTCAGCAAATGATTACCACAACACACTCATATGCACATCCATTACTCTGGATAGAGTCGTGGAAGAGTATATAACTTAAAACCAAAGTTATGGATTAGCATAGTTTGTGAGAGTGCATCACACGGGAAACTGAGGCAAGTAAGGTCAGTTGTTACACTGTTCTCTTAACGGCAAGTTAAACTTCAGCATGCTAATTGCATAGTAGGCTAGCAAGTCACATCTTCAGTGATCTCAAAGTGTATTATTAACTTGCTTGTGAGGTCCAGAAAAAAAAAAGCCAGTCTCTTTGAATGTAGGAGATACTTGCATAGAATTGGATTGCTACAGAACAGAGGCAAAGAGATGGCTCTTGGCATCAGAGATTAGAGGGGGCACCATCATCTTCTGAAGTCCCTGTTACCCTATGGTGTGTCAAGGAAGGACTGAAACCATTCCCCCACCCCCATCTACATGTAGAACTCATACCCTCTTATGTCAGACGGCATTCAGAATCAGGTCCTGGAAGGTGATCAGGTTTCAAAGGCTCCACTTCAGAAATGTTATTTGTGTGTTACAAAATGGCCACGGGGAGCTCTGTTCATCTCTGCCCTGGAGAGAACCTAGAGACCTATTTGTGACCTGGGAGCAGCCCTCCCAGACACCTGTGGCCCTGGGGATCTGAGACTGCCGAGCATTTACAGAAATAAATGTTTGTTGTCTGATTCCAAGGCTGTGGTGTTTCCTTACAATAGCTCCGGCTGACCACACCAGCCAGAGCAGTCTACCCTCCCCATTCTAATCTGCATGGAAAAGCATCTCTGGGGGCGGGGCGTTCCTGCCTGGTGTCATCCCCATGTTTGGGGGTCTGAAGGAAAGTGATGAGGTCACAGAGGCATGGGCACAGAGGAGTAAACAGGTAGGTGAGGAGCCAGGGCATTTGGAGGTCCCAAGGGAAAAGAGACACTGCTAGGAACTCGGTTCAGTGGGGCCTGCGGATGCGACACCCCCTCAAGAGCCCCTATGTTCTGGGCAAAGCTCTCAGCTACTCTGGGGGGAAACAGCAATGAGAAGGAAGAGAGAAGTGCAGGGAAGAGAAGGGTGTAAGAAAGAGTGAAGGGAAGGGAGGCAGAAAGGAAGATTGGACTTGGGTTCTGAGGAAGGGCTCACACTGCTGCTAACCCTAGGGAGTCCTGGACCTCCCTCGGTGTCCACATGCCATATATCTGGGCAGGAGAATTCCAGTTCCTAGTCCTTTGGGCCCTGGAGCATGATATTGACCACACAAACTATATTATAGGTCGCTCTAGGTAAACTGGTTTCTGAAGCAGGCTGACTGGAGGAACCCTCGTGGCTTGAATCAGATGGCTCAGATTCCTGTAAAAATAAGTTCAGGCGAGGCTCCCGGAACCAAGCTAGAGCACTGAGGTGGGGCTGGGAACAGTTACACACTACAAAAACCCTCTTATGGCCATGGTACCTGAGTAAGGTGGTAGAGGAGAATCAGGATGGATTGGAGGATAATGGTACTTTGGATCCTAAGGTCAGAGCTCATGGAATGAGGAAGAAGAATACCTGAGCAAACTGGCCAGGGCAGGGGTAGAACACGCCGTGATCTGACTAGGAACACAAATGGGTCACCGGCACAGGACCGTAAGGTGTGTCCCACTTGCTTTGCCCCCGCGGAGCTGGAGTTGGAGAATCTTGTCAGCAGGTTGCTCAGGACTACGGGAGCAGGGTGGGGATAATCGTACAGCATCGAAAGGAGAAGAGGGGAGACCTGTGTGAGCCTTGGGAACTCCGTGCAGGTCCCCACGCATTGGCCACTTCGCTCTCTTCCGGGGGGGCGGGGTTTTGCTCCTCTGCTCCTCGTGGCCTCGCTGGAGCCAGTTGCCTGGGAGCCCCTTGCAGCGCTGGCAGAGCAACCCCGAGGAGCGCAAGCAGGGACGAGAGACCTGAACTGCTTCCTCCTGGAAGCCAACTGTCCGTCTGGTCCGCAACTCGTCCAACCTAGATGCCTTGATCCCACGTGGCCAACGCTTTCTGGTCGCGCAAGATACCGGCCAAGGTCCTGGCCTGCCCAGGATCAGTGGCCTCTGGCACCCCGCAGCCATCCTAGTACCCAAGAGATGCAGGAGCTGTTTAGCCCGTCCTCCGCCCACCCAGGGCGGGACGGAGGCGGAGCCAGTGCCAGCGGGCGCCCCCGACGGCGGGCGGGGCTGGGCGGACCGACCCCGCGACTGGATAAGAGGTTGAGGCTGAGACCCGCTAGAGCTGTGAAGCTGGACTGGAGACTTACAGGACCTCAGAGCTGAAGGCCAGCGCAGGAGGCAGGTAAGGACCAGGGTTGCTCCTTGCGCATCCTTGGCAGTGGCATCCCCTGTCCCACTGTGAACCTGGACGGCTAGTCTGTGGAGCGACAGGCAGGAACCCCACTCTGCCCCTGGATGGCTGTGCCATGGAATGAGGTGCAAGAACCAGAGCTATCCGGGTTCTGGGTCCAAGTCGCCAACAGCCAGGGCTTTGGAGAGCAGCTCCTTCCACATAAAACTAAGGGGTGTGCTCTCAGCGCCTGTCCTCAGAGTGTAGGGTTCCACAGAGCCCAAGCTCAAGACCTGCAAATGGAGGTTGCTCTTACTTCCCGGGGGGGGGGGGGCATGGCTGTCTATGGCTGAGGCTGGGCATCGCGGACCCTCGGTGGTGGATTGATGCCACTTGGATGGCTGGGGTCTGAAAGAAGCACACCCCTTGGGGTTGTTTTCACCCCTTGCCAACGCTCCATCTCCCCTCTCTCCCCGCCCTCCCCCTTCTCAATTGTCCTTTCTGTAAGCAGGGGCTGAACTCGTGTTCTGGGAACCTTGGCTTATGAGCCACCTGTTTCCCGCTCCAGCTGGTGAAGAAAGATGTTTTTCCCAGGACTCATTTGCTGTCTATGCTCAAACCTCGCCTCTGAACCATGATTTGAGGAGTAGGGTGGGGCAGACAGGTCCTCTGTACCTGTAACAGAGCTTGGAGCAGAGTCTGGGACCAGGTCCTTTGCTATGCTTCCTGCCTTCTCACAGCCTTCTCTGGCGCCTACCTGCTCCCTAGCAGCTGCAAACCCGTTAGCCCATTTCTAACACGTGTGAGGAATTTGCATTCGGGGTTGTCACCGGGGTAAAGAGGCCACAGAGAAGTGGTGCATAAAATAACTTCTGTCAGGAGTTTTTGTTTAGGGATGCAGAGGAAAGTCACCCCATTAGAGCAGCCACCCAGATGCCGGGCTTCCATCAGTGTGCTTGTCTGGGCTCAGTGGAAACAGGCTGTCACCGGGCATGAGTGCCATGGCCGTGGCTCTGCAGAAGCACAGGAGAGGCTTTCTCTAGGAGCACGGCTAGTGTACCATTCTACTGTGGACTGATCCCTCCCCTGGTGACATTCTGGTAACTCCCGGTCAGCTCAAAGGCCTGGAAAGCCACGGTCACCGTCAGTCAGGGAGGTTTGTATAGACTCTCCTTGGGGAAACCGATGACTACTTGTTTTAAACTTTCAGTTACTGTGGCTGATTTTGGTTATATTCATTTTGCTTTTTGTTTGTATTACTTAAGTATAAAGAAAGCTACGCACCCTGACAAAGGCAGGAGTGAGTGGAATGCTATTGGCAAGGCATAAAATTGCCCCCCAGGAATGTGGATAAGCAATGCATGCAGCACCTGGGATTGTTATTAGGAAGCAAATTAGAAGCCACACAAGCCTGCACTGATGAGAATGAGGGCTTTGGTGGGAAAGGGAACCACAGGGGTGAGTAGAGGTGTGTCTGGTCTCCACGGTCACTCTCTCCCATCTCTGTAACCTCCCCCAGCTGTCCTTCATCTTGGCCATGGCATCTCACATGGCTTGGACAACCTCACGTCTCTGGGCACCACCCAGGTACCCTGTAGGCACGGCTACTCAACCTGTGTGTTGCTGTGTGTTTCTTTATATTGACTGAAGGCTAAGAAGAAAGAAGCAGAGTTCCTTGGGCTCCAATCTACCCATGAGTAAGAGCAAATGCTCCGTGGGACCGATGTCCTCTGTGGTGGCCCCGGCTAAAGAGTCCAATGCCATGGGCCCCAGAGAGGTGGAACTCATCCTCGTCAAGGAGCAGAATGGAGTGCAGCTGACCAACTCCACCCTCATCAACCCGCCGCAGACACCAGCGGAGGCTCAGGAGCGGGAGACCTGGAGCAAGAAAATCGACTTCCTGCTCTCAGTCATCGGCTTCGCGGTGGACCTCGCCAATGTCTGGCGGTTTCCCTACCTGTGCTACAAAAATGGTGGAGGTGAGTGTTGGCCTGGATTCCGGTGCCTTATAAGGGTGGGGCTGTGGCAGGGGTGGGGCTGTGGCAGGGGTGGGGCTGTGGCAGGGGTGGGGCTGTGGCAGGGGTGGGGCTGTGGCAGGGGTGGGGCTGTGGCAGGGGTGGGGCTGTGGCAGGGGTGGGGCTGTGGCAGGGGTGGGGCTGTGGCAGGGGTGGGGCTGTGGCAGGGGTGGGGCTGTGGCAGGGGTGGGGCTGTGGCAGGGGTGGGGCTGTGGCAGGGGTGGGGCTGTGGCAGGGGTGGAGTGGGAAGTGCAGTGGCGGCCATGGAAGCCATGGTACCGTGTGGGCTGCGGTCTCAAGAAATGCTCACAGTGAAGGCGAGGAGATAACTAAGTCAGCAGTGTGCTTTCTGTTCAAGCATGAAGACTTTGAGCGTGATCTCCAGAACCCAAATTTTAAAAAAAAGCAAGCAGGGCATGGTGTCACACATTTGTAATGCTACTTAGTACTAGGAGAAAGGAGAACCCCGGAGATTGACAGCCAGCTAGTCTCAGTCTAGTCTATCCAGAGAGCATCAGGTCAGTTCCAGACACTGTCTCAAAAACCCAGGTGAGCCGCTCCTGAGGAACGATGCCCGAGGGTGGTGCCTGGTCTCCTAGGCTCATATGCTCCTGTGCACACAGGAAATGCTGTCAGTGAGACAATCCCGTCCCTCCTGTAGGATGGTGAAACTGCTGCGCCAGCTGCAGCTCTTTTCAGTCTTCCCAGGCTGGAGAACTCGGAAAATCCGACAGCCAAGGCATGTGGAGCCCAGAGAGCAAAGAGGAGAAGGGAGTGGGTGGAGGCACCAGGTCCTGACTTCTATGTCCGCTAGGATTTTCACTTTGGAAAGAAAATCCTAAAAGACCAAAAGAAGAACGTTTTAAGACAATTTCAGCAGTGCTTATAGAGTTGAATTCATAAAATTTGAAGTTAAACTTAGCAGGGCAGAAGATGCCCCTGAACTGAAATATATCCTCCTCTCCTCGCCTCTCCTTGCCTCTCCTCTCCTCTCCCTCCCCCCCCCTCTCGTGTTCTCCCTTACTTTCTTTAAATACAGTTATGGGGATTGAACCCAGAGACTTTTGCATGCTGGGAAAACTCGACCACTGAGTCACATGCATAGCCCTCTTGATTATTTTTTTTTCAATTTGAGTTAGGATTTCACTGCTGCCTAGGCAATTCTTGAACTTACTCTGGATCAGTAGGTCTTGAACTTATTTATGGTCTTCCTGCCTTTTGCCTCTGGAGAGCTGGGATTGCCGGGCTCACATAAGAAAGCCCACTTTCTTATCTCCGCTATAGAGTCCTGGCTGTGCAGTGGAGCTAAAAGGAAGAACAAGGTTACCAGAGAAATTCAAGTTGAGCCTGGAGGTCTCTATTTCCATGGCTGGGTTTTCCTGGCTGGCTACAGGATATGAAGAATTGCTGAAGGGAGGGAGGGAGGAAAGGAGGGAGGGAGGAAGGGAGGGAGGGAGGGAGGGCAGGAAGGAAGGGCAGGAAGGCTGAAGGAAGGGTGGAAGAAAGGAAGGGCAGAAGGGCAGGCTCAGGCAAATCCATGAGCAAATTGCTTAATTATGTGCTCCTTGAAGGTGAGAGAACCAGGCTCAGCAGCTCCAGTAAGTGACCCAGACTGACAAGGAGACTCCCATCTTCCTCAAGACTTTGGGGGAAAGCTGTAGCCAAACTCTGCCTTACTCAAGGTCAGATTGAAGGGAGCAGAGTACTCCAGTGGGGTTCAGCCTTTTGTGGATTAGAATGTACAGTTTAAGCAAATCAAGTCCTGCCCTCTGGCTCCCGGAAACTCAGCCCAAGTCTCCAGAGAAGCAGGCTCTAAATGCAAGGATTAGGTCACAGATTCCAGGACCACAACTCTCAAGGGACAAAGTGGGGTATGAAGAGGCAGACAGCGCTAGGAACAATACTGAGAAGTGGTTCCAGGCCTTGACTGCCTTGCCTCTGAGTTCAGGACATGGGGTGGGTGGACAATCAGAGGCATCCAAAGGAACACGTTCAACACTGACCGCAGCTGAGACAGGAAAGGAGGCGTAGTTTACCACCCTTCCCACATATCCCCTTGGGTGGTAGCTGAACAGGAACCTCCACTAGACAGGACACTGGGTGACAAGAACATACTTAAAAGCACAACATCAAGGTCCATGTGCAGATAATGAAAGTACCCCCTTCTGTGGCCCCAAACTGAGGTTGCTGTCCTATGCACAGGTGCCTTTCTGGTCCCCTACCTGCTCTTCATGGTTATTGCCGGGATGCCCCTCTTCTACATGGAGCTGGCCCTTGGGCAGTTCAACAGAGAAGGAGCCGCTGGCGTCTGGAAGATCTGCCCTATCCTGAAAGGTAATGTGGAGGAACTTGGCCCCACGAGGTGTGGCCATGTCTCTGGGGGCTGCAGAACAAGGTGATGACGTTGTGTGCAGGTTCTGCTCTCCTAAACTCTGGACACATCGGCACATGCTCTTCTAATGTGTATCCTAGCTTAAAGACCGTAATGACCAGGAATCTTCCAAAGCATTCTCTTGCTCCCAAGCCAGACTGCTCTACAGCTAAGTGGTGGTAAACTTGTCAGGGTAGTAAAATGGCAAGGTTTGAAAAACCTATTTATCTGTCATCTTTCATCTACTTACCTATCTATGGTCCATTCAGCAAGCACCTTTGTCGTCTATCATCTATCTGCCTATTTATTGATCCACCATCTATCTGATCCACCATCACCTGCCATCTACATGCATCACTCACTTATCTATCTACTATCTACATACATGTCTATCTGTTCACCTACCAATCATCCATTCACCTATCAATCTACCTACCAGTCATGCATTTCTTAAACCATGTATCTATCAATCATCTATATACCACAGTGAGGTCAAAGAGTGTTTATACAAGACGTCAACACTATGAGGCAGATGTACTTTATACTGAACCAGGCGGCCTGCCCAATGGTTGACACTCCCCAGATGTCACCTTCCTTGATCCCGGGAGGTCCCAGGTAGAGAACACTGTGCCTTCTGCATGGGAGATACTGACAGTGAGAAGGCTAAAGGCTTCTCCATGTGTTAAACGCAAACCCTGGATCCTTCACAGACCTGTTTATCACCATCCAGGTTTGGACCACCCTTGTCTAACTCAGTGTCATCCCAAGGAGATGGAGTTCCAAGAGACTTTCAAGAGTTTTGGGGAAAAGACCCAGTGAGGTTCCCCTCCAATAGTTGTCACTTGCCGAGAAAATGACTCTTGGAAGAGTAGCGTTGGGTTTTCTCAGAAGTATTTAAGCAGTGACTGCATGGGAGGAATCAGAGCCCCAGTCCCCGGTGCAGTGTCTGTGGGCTGGTGTTTGACACCCAAGACCAGAAACTGCTGCTCTGAGTAGAAGCAATAACGAGCTTCTCACAGCTGTTCAGGCCACGTTCTTCATGGACTTGCTGCCCTTGTACAGCAGGAATGTGAAGGGCAGAGGCTGCTGGGCAGAGTCAGTGGGCTGCTGGGTTTTGGATTTACATCTTATAAGTGTTGGGTAGCATTTTCCCTAGGCTAAAATGATTCCGAGTTACACGGAAATGAAACTCTGTAAAGAGGGACCTCACCAAAACCTACGTCTATGCACAACTTTAGAACCAGACAGACCCTCTGGGGACACACGCTGGCACTGGATGCTGCCTGTTTTGATCAAAATGTAGGAGTCAGCATTTAGAAGAATTGCATGGGGCTGCCTGACAGCATCCTTGGGTCCTGATGGCACCCGGGAACCCTGTCGCTCTAAGAGATGGTTCTTGTGTTAAAGAGTTTCATTGTCCACTTACTTAGTGGGTCAAGGCCAGTGCACTCAGCCTTAAGAGCTACAGATGAAAATGAATGGCTCATGCTCTCCTAGGCTCTATCTAGCAGTGCTAATGGGACCCAGGGAGTAGACACCACTCCTGGGACTGTAGTGGTAGCCGGGATGAGCTCTAGGCAAATCTGTCATTCAGGTGGCAGTTGATAAATGAATTGGAGACTCGGCCTGCCTATCCTTGTAAAGAGGACACACCAAGGGTTGGTGGCGACGTGTGGTCATGCAAACTCGAGTGATGCCAGAATTTGACCTGCTGCACTTTGTTCCCGAGTCTCATGGCCCTTGATTGTAGAGAAAGCCACAGGATACAATCAGTCCTGTGCCTCAGTCCTCACTGGGAATCACAGGACTGAAAGACCAACAGGAAACCAGGAAAGAGGGCAGATTCAGTACCCAGGACTGTGGTTAGCGGAGGAAAGCTACTTAGCTCACACAGGGACCTACTCAGAGCACAAAGTTCTCCATCAGTCTCTGGGTATTAGTAATGGTGTACTGCTACCATCCCAGCACTGAGTAACCAAAGGCAGGAGGATTGCAAGTTCTAGGACAACTCAGGCTGCAAAAAAATGCTGTCTCAAAAAAGCTCCTCCATAAAACCACTACAGGAATTATTTTTACTTTTATTCAAAGCCTCAGTAAACTATTTTGAAGAGCACCAAGGTATTATGCAATGCTAGCAACTTCCTTGGAACACAGTGAAATTGAGCAAGCATTGATACCAATAGCTTTACAGAGGAAAGACTATGGCTGTGTGACTAGGTGAGTGAGAGAACTTCTAGAAGATGGGTAGTGAGCAGAACTCAGTGATCCCTGCTCCCTAGGCTGGCTTTCAATCCATTCTAGAGACAAGTCTGCAGGAGGGCCACGCTGGAGCAGAGCAAGGTTGTGTGACGAGCCTATGAACCCCAGGTGTGGGATCTCAGTCGGAGACGTTCTTTTCAATCCCTAACTTAGGCTGGGGAAGCTACACTCAGAGAAGCCAACTTCCAGCTTTGGTATTAGAGCCCACTCCAACAGAAATCAGCAAGTGGTACCTGGGAGAGGGCATGAGGTTTTAAGAAGTGGCAGATTGAAACGCGAAGACAGAAACATAAGATAGACCGGGAGGACTGAGGGTAAATACCAAACAGCCCCGAGTTTACTTCTCAGCCAGCATATATACTGGCTAATTACTAATTACAGGCAAAAGGCAGCTGTACAGTCAGCTGACCACTTCCCTGTGCTGTCCTTGGGAGGAAACTCAAGCAGGTGCATTATCTTACTCAGCTGAGCAACTTCTACTCTCTGATAAGGAGTGCCTCCGGCTGGCACACACCAGCCCAAATCTTAATACAAAATGTGCTCTTTCATCTGGGCAAAAATGCTTTCTATGGGCTAACACAGACGTTACTCACAGCCCGCGAGGTTACTGGAAAAAGCAGAGCAGGCAATCCTGAACTCGAATGACTTAAGTCAGTGACTCCAGATGAAATCTGAGTCACATGTGGGTGCCCACAATTTGGCATCTGTGTAATCGTGGATTCTCTCTCTCTCTCTCTCTCTCTCTCTCTCTCTCTCTCTCTCTCTCTCTCTCTCTCTCACACACACACACACACACACACACACACACCAGCTACAATCCCTGGAGAGTCTTTCCTGCCCCTTAGATCACATGCCTTCTCTTTCCTCTCTATCTTTTAAAAGTCTAGTTGATTATTATCTTTATTTTCACTAATCACAAATTGCAGTCCCGTGTAGACAGTGAAGATGACTGTTAAAATGTGGACAAGAGTGGAATTAAAGGTTGAGCAATTCCTCAGGAGAAGTTGGATTCTCCTGCCTTGCCAGTCTCTGTTCCAACCTGGGGAGTGGCTTTGCTTCAAAACCCAGATAGTCAGATAGTCCAAGGTAAGAACAGAATGTGAAACCCAAGGTGAGGGACAGTGAAGTCCAAAGTGAGACACTGTGAAGCCCAGGGTGAAGGCCCATAGTGGCTTTTCAACTGTATTTTAATAAATAAAAACTGCCTGAAGATCTGAGAGTAAAACAGTCCCACTGCTCAGCCTTATAGACCAGGTTATGGTAACACACACCTTTAATCCCAGTAGCCACACTAGTTGGCATAGAAATCAGGCCGGTGCATGCTTTTAATCCCAGCCCTAGAGAGGAATATATAACTGTTTGTCCTTGATGGTCTTGGAGAAAGGACATGAGTAGTTGTTAATGGCTTTGTCTTCAGAGATTCTGGGTGATCCTAACAGGTATGGATGGATATAAATGGCTGTGGATGGCCTGTATGATTCTGGGTGGCCCTAGATTTCCCTGGATAATCGTGGGCAGTTTTGTTTACCCTTTGGTTTTGAGTGTACCTGGGTTCTTGTGGATGGCCATAAAGGGTCCTAGTTGTCTTTTAAGATTCATAGTGGTAGCCGGGCGGTGGTGGTGCACGCCTTTAATCCCAGCAGAGGCAGGCGGATCTCTGTAAGTTCGAGACCAGCCTGGTGTACAGAACTAGTTCCAGGACAGGCTCCAAAGCCACAGAGAAACCCTGTCTCGAAAAACCAAAAAAAAAAAAAAAATTCATAGTGGTTCTGGGCAGCATTGAGCATTTCTGGGTGACTCCTAGGTGCTTTGATGGCTCTGTTAGCATGGGTGTTTCTGAAGGTTCTGATGGCTGTGGTTGGTTCTAAAGGTTTGGTGTGGGTCTAGTAGCTGTGCTTGACTGACTTGAGTGATCCAGGGAAGCTGTAGATGACTCAAAATGGGCCTGAATGACCCTGGCTGCTTCTTGAATGACTGTGGTGCAAATGAATGACCTTAATAATTCTGAACGGCTTTGGGTGACTCTGGATAACATAGTGTATCTATGGCTGACTGTTGGGGTCATTTCAGATACTCTGATGCCCTTCGATGACCCCTCTGAATCTCTGGAAGACATAAATGGTTGTTAAAAATGGCAATCCCTTTCCTTTAATCTCAGAGTAGAGTCTGGTACCCCTCCTTCCTATGTGTTTTAAGGTGTTGTGGATGTCAGTGCACCTACTCAGAGTGAGTAGATGATGGGAAGGGGCATCGATCATGCTGACGGTGGCTCCACTGTCATCCCCCAGGTGTGGGCTTCACGGTCATCCTCATTTCTTTCTACGTGGGCTTCTTCTACAACGTCATCATCGCGTGGGCTCTGCACTACTTCTTCTCCTCCTTCACCATGGATCTCCCGTGGATCCACTGCAACAATACCTGGAACAGCCCTAACTGCTCCGACGCCCATGCCAGCAATTCTAGTGATGGCTTGGGCCTCAACGACACGTTCGGGACCACGCCTGCTGCTGAGTACTTTGAGTAAGTGAGTGGTCCATTCTTCCTGCTGGCCTGGAGATTGGGAGGGTTGGCAGATCTGGGAATGCAGGGACAGCACTGAGGATGCCCCCCCAAACCTTGTTGTTTTCAACTGCGCTGAACCAGTCCTTTCCCTTGCTCAGAGCTGCTGAGTCCTGTTCCTTATGCAATACATTTCTGAATTGCAAGAGATGATCTTAAACAATCTTATACAAACTATATCGACGTGAGCCTCAGGAGGGATGGACCCTGGACTGTTGTCCCCTGTTCCATTCTGCCTCTACAGTGAGGTGAGAGGAAACTGCCCAAGACACTGCATCACCACCTAGAAGGAAGGGAAACCCTGGCGTTGGGCTTCCATGGCAAAGGACACAGGCAAGCAAGCTCTCTGTTAGCTCTAGAAAGGGACCTCTCTGAGCATCGCTGTCTGGGTGCCTCAGCTTCATAGCCAAGCTGCTGACAGGATGCAAGGGCTATCCTCTTGCTATGATGCTTTCTCTTTTATAAATTTTCTTTACTTGCGTCCCTGTATACCTTTTCCATGCATGGTGCTAGCCTTCCTCCCCAACCCTGGTACACTCTCATCTCCAGCAAGCCTTCCTGGTTTTCTGTCTCTTTGCCAGACCTTCTCCTTGCTAGACCTGCCTTTCATAGTCTACTTGCAGGTTAGTATCCCTCCTGGAGTTTGTTTTCCTGAGTCTTTCTGGCTCCTGTTAGCTCTTCTATACCCTTCTTTATCACTATTGACCTTTCTTGAAATCTAGGCATGTGTTCATTCACTCATATGTGTATGCACATCACTGCACATGTGTACTTATGTGTACATGTATGCACACATAATGTGCCTGTGTATGAATGTGAATGCTCAACAGAAAGACACACTGTCATAGGCAATGGTTTACCCTGTATGATTTTCAAGATGGCGGCTGTGAAAATATTACAGATGTGTGGCGGAGTCTGCCTCTCTTGGGGCACTGTTGGTGCTGGCTGGCACACTCTGACTGAGGCAGGGTCTGCTAAGGTGTGGCTTCTGTGGCAAATGTAAGCAAAGGGCATTTGGAGCAATCATTGTCAAGGTCAGGGTTTTCCCATGGACACTGATGCTCTTTGTAGGACTGAGTTCTCACTGGCATATTTGAACATGTCTTATTACTCATGTGTTAAAACATGTCTAAGAGTTCAATTACCACTTAACAGAAGCTGTAGCTAGGTCGGTGCCTGTGAACTTAACACTCAACAGGTTGAGGCAGGAGAATTGCAAGTTCAAGATATGGACTACAGAGGAGAATCAAAAGCTTAACAGAAGGTGCCTTGGCCAATAGAAATGAAATCATTTCTGCTCTAACTGAAAGTAGGTTCACTTGCCAAAGCAAAGTGTTCCACCTTTAAAGTGTTAAAAGCTGTGCTCACTAGAGGCCGAGGCTGGGGGAGGTGAGTGAACGGAAGCACCGCCCTGAATGTTTAGATAGTTTTCCCCAATGGCAAGCAAACAAATGATGGCTTTGCTCACAGAATACTGCTGCCATCTGTCAAAGTAGATTTTAGCAGAAATATTATAGCTCCCTTACAGAGTAGTCTAGGGAGAAAAATTCCCCAACCTTACAAATGCTTGTCGTGTGTTCCCATCCATAGGAACAGTATCGAACTGCCGCGCACCGCACCCCCATGTCTGCATTCTGTGCGCTGGCACCCAGTTCACGAGTTTCAGGCAAGGGGGCTGGAGGTTAAAATACACAGACACACACAGACAGAGAGACAGCAACACGGGTCATCCTTGAATTCCCCAAAAATCAGGGGCATATTATATAGAGATAGCCATGCATGCCCCAGCCAAACCCACCAGAAACCACTCTCCTGCCATCAGGAACTCCTGAAAGTCTCGTGATCAGAGCAGCTGTAGGCACTCAGATCAGGGGATTACAAGAAATTCAGGATCTGGGGTCTCACTGCTCCCAACAGGTCAGAGTGTAGAGAAAGGGGCTCAGACTCACTCATTAACAAGAGCCACAAGGAAGCCCTCACAGTCCTGAAACAGCTAAAATCTAAGACTCTGTGCACTGGCACCCAGTTCGCAAGCTTCGGGCAAGGGGGCTGGAGGTTAAAATACATAGACAGAGAGCCAGCGACACAGGTCATCCTTAAATTCCCCAAGAATGCCCCTTTATTGTGTTCAGGGGCAGATTATATAGAGATAGCCACGCCCCAGCCAAACCCACCAGAAACCACTCTCCTGCCATCAGGAGCTCCTGAAGGTCTCGTGCTCAGAGCAGCTGTAGGCACTCAGATCAGGGGATTACAAGAAATTCAGGATCTGGGGTCTCAGTGCTCCCAACATCGAACCAAAGTAGCGGGACCAGCAGGGCTGTGAGGGAACCAGTGCCAGAGAACACCAGCTGCAGAGTTAGGGTTTGCGCTGAAGGAAGCCAAGAGCCGAGCTCAAGCTTGAATCAGGGTTAGCTTGTAACACAAAGAAAGAATGACTGTTTGTGAGCTCATGTGTCTTTCACGACTGCCAGATGGGTTGAGATGTGGTTTCGCACACTTGGAAAGAGCAGAGACGTCAGAACAGGTAAGGGGCCCGGAGAACTGCCTCTTTTCTGCTTGGAAGATGTGGGGGGCAACAATTCCTTCCTGTGATTTTCCAGATAAGAAAATTAGAGGGGAAGTAAAAATGAGTCTAGGGACTTTTGACAATTGATATAAGTGCCTGACTTAGTCTCTTCCATGAGCCTATGCATACCTACTCAGAATGGACGCTGGAGAAATGGTAGGACAGAGGAATAAAGGGACAGACATGCAGGGAGGAAATATGCATCTTTATAAAAGGACTCATCTGAAATCCCAGCACCAGGAGGTGGAGGCATAGGACCAGGTAGTGTGGGCTGCACAGTAAGACTCTGACTTTAAATAAATAATAGAAAGTAGTAAGGGTGGCTGGGGGTGTGTCTTAGCTAGGTTTCCATTGCTGTGATGAAACACCGTGGCCAAAGCGAGTCGGGGAGGAAAGGCTTATTTGACTGACTCTTCCACATCACTTCTTCTTTTTTTTTTGATTTTAAAGTGTGTTTTTATTTTTTTATATTTATTATAGATTTCTGCCTCCTCCCCGTCACCACCTCCCATTTCCCTCCCCCTCCCTCAGCAGCCTGAAGAGCAGTCAGGGTTCCCTGTCTTGTGGGAAGTCCAAGGACCTCCCACCTCCTCCCAGGTCTAGTAAAGTGAGCATCCAAACAGCCTAGGCTCCCACGTGCAGTAGGATCAAAACCCAGTGCCATTATTTTTGACTTCTCAGCAGCCCTCATTGTCCGCTATGTTCAGCGAGTCTGGTTTTATCCCATGCTTTTTTTAGACCCAGTCCAGCTGGCCTTGGTGAGTTCCTGAAAGAACATCCCCATTGTCTCAGTGTGTGGGTGCACCCCTCGTGGTCCTGAGTTCCTTGTTCATGCTCTCTCTCCTTCTGCTCCTCATTTGGGCCTTGGGATTTCAGTGCAGTGCTCCAATGTGGGTCTCTGTCTCTGTCTCCTTTCATCGCCTGATGAAGGTTAATATCCAGGAGGATAACTATATGTTTTTCTTTGGGTTCACCTTCTTATTTAGCTTCTCTAGGATCACAAATTATAGGCTCAATGTCCTTTATTAATGGCTAGAAACTCATTATGAGTGAGTACATCCCATGTTCCTCTTTTTGGGTCTGGCTTACCTCACTCAGGATAGTGTTTTCTATTTCCATCCATTTGCATGCAAAATTCAAGAAGTCATTGTTTTTTACTGCTGAGTAGTACTCTAATATGTATATATTCCATACATTCTGCATCCATTGTTCCATTGAAGGGCATCTAGGTTGTTTCCAGGTTCTGGCTATTACAAACAACGCTGCTATGAACATAGTTGAGCATATACTTTTGTTGTATGCTCATCTCTTGGGTATATTCCCAAGAGTGGTATTGCTGGGTCCTGGGGTAGGTTTATCCCAAATTTCCTGAGAAACCGCCACACTACTTTCCATAAAGTTGGTTCTTTGTCTCCAGTGTTAACAATCTCTGGCTCTGGCTCTTTATACACCACCCTCCAGGCAAAGAGAGTAAATGGTCACCTCCCTCAGGGTTAGGCAAGATCTGTGTCTGTCAGACACAAGGCTCTGGAATGAAGTTGGGACACGGAGAAGAACATAAACTGTGTAGGCATAAGACTTGGTGGTGTTGTCCTGAAATTTTCCTCTTGTTGGTAAAAAAATTCTAAGAAATGAGCAAAGCAAGGATCATTGGACAGCAGTCCAGGGCAAGGTTAGGAGCCCTAAGAATCCTCACTGCCAAGATAGGGCCAGTGATGCTTCCAGGAGGTGCACTGGCCTGTCTCCCTTAGCTCAAGTGATTCATACTGCACATCCACATGCTAAGAGTTTGCACAGTATCCACGGTAGATGGGATGATAAGCAAGCTACTTAGACTCTCTAAGAAGAGAATGATGGTACCCTCAACACATGGGGAACCATTTGGAAACCCTGGCCCTAACTACTACTGGAGTATTAGGTGATGCTGAGCTGTATTTTCAATGCTGTCCCTGAGGACAACAGCTAGCACCACCCTGTTGTACTTTCTAGACTATGGAGAATAAAGTTCTACAGCTTGGTGCCATGATTCCCGTTTCTGGTGAAAATATCCAGTAAGTTGGGGCTAGTAGTGTTCCACTTTAAGACTGGGCATTGACTTCCTGAGAAACCTCTTCTGACCCACAATCAACCAAACCCGGGCTGTGGTGGCTCCTTTCACTATGCATTCTTCCCCTTCCTTTGGCGGAAGCACTATTAGAATAGGCTGGGGTTCAAAGTCCCGTCTGTGAAGGTGATGCAACCACTTCTACATGGCCAGACTCATTGGAAGCATTCTCTTTTAGGATGGCTTCCCTCAGTGATGAGTGCAGCTATGCATGGCTTCCCATCAGATCATTCCTTGGGGAGCCTCCTTAAAGTGGCAGGAACTGTGTGAACAAGGATGAGAGAAGTCAATACAGAATGCCCAGGAGCCTGCATATGCAGCTTTACTGATCAGAACTCTCCTGGTTTTACCCCTGCAAAGGATCCTGGGACTGCCACAAGATAGCAGCGCATGGTGGCTTCACTAAGTACCTTCTGGTTTCTGAGGTCTCCGTTTCTCTGTACACCCAAACTTCCCATTCCCTCCCAACTCCAAAATCCTATCTGTTGGTAGAGCAGGGTGTTGCTGACCTCCTGCAGGTTTCCTGACAAGACATCCAGCTTCTCTGTCCATCTTAAGACAGTTCTGTGACTCAAACTTGGGTCTTTCACTGCTGGAAGGGGTATTTCCTAGTCAGATCATAGCAGAGACTTTCCATATGACAAAGATGAGGAGGATGGGGTCTGGCTCAGCTGCCCCATTCTAGTCCTGAGAGACAAGTGCTCCCTCCAGAATCATCTGTTGCCTTTCCTCCAGGCGTGGCGTGCTCCACCTCCACCAGAGCAGTGGTATTGATGACCTGGGCCCTCCACGGTGGCAGCTTACAGCCTGCCTGGTGCTGGTCATTGTCTTGCTCTACTTCAGCCTGTGGAAGGGAGTGAAGACCTCAGGAAAGGTGAGATGGTAGCCAACAGGACCTGAGAACACATGGCAATGGGTGGGTGAGTAGGTAAAAAACATAAGACCATGATAAATGGGTGGCATATGGCTGTGGTTGGTAGATGGACATGGGTGGGTGGGTGAACATATAGCCATGGTCAATAGATGGTATGTGGCCATAACTGGTATAAGGGCATGTGGCCATTGTTGGACGAGTGATTCTGAGACCAAAGTCAGCCTGTGACCTTAACTGGGTATATGGACATGAGGTTATAGTTGGGTAATTGGGCATGAGGTCATGTTTGGTGGGTGGGAACATGGTATGGTTGAGCGGGAAGTAGATAGATGCTTATGGGTAAGTTGAGAGTAGACATGAAGCCATGGTTTGTTTGGCCATGGACACATGGCCATGTTTAGATAAGGAGGAGATGTATGGCCATGGTTGAATGAGAGTGAACATGTGACCATGATTTGCTGGGGTCAGTGAACACATGTTCATGGTGAATGAAGACAGGCATTGTGCTTGGGACAGGGCAAGAAGAACATCATTCACAATGGTGTGTACAGCATGAACATATTTCTTACTGATGAAAATACTTGGCAGTTATGTATATATGGGTACCCATGACAATTTTACCAGAATGACCATTACACCTGTGATAATGCATGTGACAACACATGGAACCCTCCAACAACAGCAGGTATCTCCTTCCCTGCCTTCATGCCTCAAACCCACTTCCTACCCTAGGTGCATCAATGTAAGCTCCCACCAAGGCCCCGCTGTGTGTGACTTAGGCCCCTTGGAGACACTGTCTTCTCTTCCAGGTGGTGTGGATCACAGCTACCATGCCTTACGTGGTCCTCACTGCCTTGCTACTGCGTGGAGTCACCCTCCCTGGAGCCCTGGATGGCATCAAAGCATACCTCAGTGTGGACTTTTACCGGCTCTGCGAGGCATCTGTGAGTCCAGCCCCCATCGTGGTTGGCAGTCCTTTGAGGTGGTGGGGCTGTGTGACAGGGATCCTGCATATGGTTCAGAGGCCCAATCTATGGCTCAGCAGCAATTCCTTCCTATCCTGTAAGGTCAGCAGATGCAGGCTGGCCTGTTCACCTGTCTCCTTCACAGGCAGGGTTAGTGGAGGAGGGAGAGAATGGAAAGAAAGGAGACAGGGGAATGGCCTTCTGACTCTCCACAGGGATGGAGGGCTGTGCCAGTCAGTGCACCATGAAAACCCCTCACCTCCTCCACCTGTGTTACTACTGGTCCCAGGTGTAAGTTGTCACCAAGAGCACAGTCTTTGGTTCTGTATTATTTTCTTCAGGGCAGAGCTGCCTCAGAAATCCATGAACCAGAATCCACCTTTGGGAGTCTGAATTCCTGAGCCACTGAAGGTTTCTCAAGTAAAGGAAGGAGTTATTCTAGTTTAGAAGATTTGGAGGCCTCATGAGAGATGGGCTTTTCCAGGCTATAGATGTTCCTGAGAGAGGAAAAAGTCAGCACCATCTTTGGAGAACAATGAAAGCAGCCGTTTTTGAGAGGCAGTTGTGACAGAATTCTATGAAGAGTTGTTAAAAGTCGTGTGGGCTGAGCCGAGACAGGTGATAAACCCCAAAAGCAACACAGGGAATTCAGACACTGCAGTGGTCCTGCTGGAAGCGCGTAGGTTTCTGCTGAGACTGGGGTTAGGGCAGGAGATGTGGGTCTCTAATAGAGAAGGGCAGGAGGGCTGAGAGGGAGGCTGGCTGCAGATCCATCCTGGGTTTGAGTCACAAGATCCTTTGGGAGTTTGCTGCATGATACAAACCTAAGGCAGAAGCAGGCAAGCGTGGGCCGAGTTGGTCAGGGTAGCGGAGACTCAGTGGGGGATGACGGTGTCAGCACAGGTCTACATGAAAATGGAAGCAAGGCCTGAGAGCATGCACACACATCCCACAGAGTGAAAGAAGAGGGAGGGGAAAGTAAAAAAGGGACCTGTGGCATGGAACCGAAACCACGAGGGCTGTGGACATCATCCAGGTGGGAACCTGGAAAAGTCAGGGTCAGGGAAGACATGTTTGAGAATTCAAGAGAAAAAAAAATGTGAAGCCCATTAGCGTCTCAGCAAGCAGGCACGCAGCCCACAAAAAGAAAGAGAAACCTTGCCTATGAGGTGCTGAGAGGGGAAAAAAGGCAAGTTACAAAAATGAGAGTGAAAAATTAAGATAATAGTAAAATAGTAAGACTGACTAGTTGAAAGATAGGTCGACAATAGGTAGATGCTAGATATTGACAGGTCTGATTGCTAATAGATGATTGAATGATACATGATAGGAATAGGTACCTAGATAATCAAACATATAAACAGAAATAACCAACCAGGAAAGAAAAAAAGGAAGCTGTTTCTAGTACCCAGGTAAGGTCAATCAGGCTCTGAGGGTCCAGGAAGGCACTGAGTCGGGTATGACAGTGACCCAAGCAAAGAGCATGTTGAGAACCTGATGAATGGCCCACGGAAATCTCTGGGGGAAATAAACTGGGTGAACACTGGGACTAAGTGGGAAACAGGAAGTTCTTGATGATGCTGTTCTTACCAGAACCACCTTGATGGGTGAGCTTGCTGTGATATAGGAGCCACACAGGACAACAAGGCAGGACCCCTCTACTGACTGAGCATCTGCTAAACCACTCTGGACTTGGCCTCTCCACCATGCTGAGGCCCTAGACATCTCTTCAACCTTTCAACCTTGACATTCTGGGTGGCCAGTTGACTTCAAACACACAGTCCCCAAACACTGGGTAGCCTAAAGCTCTGGACATTGCTACCCAAAGAACAGAGATGCCAGATCCCTTGTTGTAGGCTTCCACAGTGCCAGGCTCCACTCTCCTCAGCAGAGTCAGGTCCTCTGCTCCATGAGCCCAAGAAGACACTTCAGATATCCTCAGCTCGGCCACTGCAGATTCCAGCGACGGATTCTGATATTCTTGTCTCTGTGGCTGAGGCCCCTGAGTTACCCTGGGCCATATGACCCTCAGAAACAACTCCAGTACTGTGCAATCCCCATATAACTCAGGTGGTAAATCCCTGGGAAAGGCTTTCAGAGCTCTTCCTCAGCCTTCCCATCAAGGCTACACAGGATCTCTTCAGCCAGGCTCTCTAGGTCTTAGCACGACCTTAGGGTCATGCAAGCAGGTCACACCTGACTTCATCATTTTGGTACAACTATCAGTTCTTGTACCTTTCTTTTCATGCTCAGAGAAATGAGCCTGCTATTGCTGAATATCCATGTCTGACCACTGGTGACCTGGGGCTCTGCATGTGCCCCCTGAAACCACAAGCTGATAGAGGAAAACACAACCTCCCTTTTTCCATGCCCTTTCAGGCCAGGGATGTAGGAAGGCTTGTTTCTGCCAGCGCCAAGCATGCATGTTCCATTTGCTCAGAATCTTTTCCCACCTCAGCTGCAGGTGAACATGGAGTGTACATGTGAAGCTTCTGTGGTCATTTGGGAGACTGCCCAGTGACCACTCCCACTCTCCCCTCTGGTAGAACTCTCACCCCACAATTTTCTCTAATGTCTCACGCTCTCCCATCTCTGGCTGCCACAGGTGTGGATCGATGCTGCCACCCAGGTGTGCTTCTCCCTGGGCATTGGTTTTGGGGTGCTGATTGCCTTCTCCAGTTACAATAAGTTCACCAACAACTGCTATAGGTAAGCCCTGAGCTACCGTTGCTGGGAAATGGTCCACAAAACCTAGTCTGTCTCACTGATCCTGGAGTCTACCTCTTGGAAGTGAAGTATTCCTGGAGGAAAAATCACAAAATCTCTGAGCCATGCAAATTTCCTTTCCTTAGATTTATTTGTTTGTTCTCCAGAGACAGAGCTTTTATGCTATAGCCTGAAATTTACTACGTAGCCCACACTGGCCTTGTCACAGCCCTGCCCCCCGCTTAGCCTTTCAAATACTGAGATTAAAGGTGTGAATTGATCACCATACTCAGCTCCATGTGGCATCTTCCAACAATATCTTGCGTCTCACTTCAAAGATGATATTGAGACATGACCAGCCACTTTATAACCCCCATGTGTGCATGAAGACTTTAACAGCCCCCAAACCTGTGCATGCCCAGGTTCCAACACTCTTGTGAGGTGGTCCAGGGCCACGATGGCTTGTGAGTGGGACATGGAGTAGCCATCTTTCCCACTGCCCTGAGCCCCGACAGAACCCAGGGGTACCAGACTGGTTCTCCCAGTTATAGGTACTTCCATTATGCTCCCCTCAGAACGAGCCTGCCCATCCCCTTCCCTAGACACTGAAGATGGGTGATAACAGCTGGCTTCCCAGGGCTACAGCTTAACCCGTATCAGGACAGTCTGTCTTGTTCCTACAGAGATGCAATCATCACCACATCTATTAACTCCCTGACAAGCTTCTCCTCTGGCTTCGTCGTCTTCTCCTTCCTGGGGTACATGGCACAGAAGCACAATGTGCCCATCGGAGATGTGGCCACAGATGGTGAGCCCCCACCCCCATCACATGTCACTCTGTCCTCTCTGGAGTAAGGCCAGAGGGACATGGCCAAGACAGAAAGGATGTTGGGTATAAGAGCTGAGAGCAGCCACGGATAACCTATGTTCCAGTCCCAAGAGACTCACTTCGGAGAGACCGAACTCAATCTCTATGGATTAACAATCTCTTCATGAGGGTGGTGCCTCCATAACCCAATACCTCTTGAAGGCCCTACTACCTCATTAACAATCTTATCTTCAATTAATTTCCATTAATTTCCAGTGTGGGGAACTGGGAAGATGGCTCAGTCTATAAAGTGTTTGTCATGAAAACACGAGGGCCTGAGTTCATTCTCCAGACGTGTGTGTGTGTGTGTGTGTGTGTGTGTGTGTGTGTGTGTGTGTGTGAGAGAGAGAGAGAGAGAGAGAGAGAGAGAGAGAGAGAGAACAAACATGTGGGGCATGCGTGATCTGTGCAGGAAAGCTAACTAGAAAGACATCTCAGACTGTCTAAAGGCAGAAGCATCTGCCAATCCTTTCCTCTGGTCCATGTTTTGATTTTACTCCTCTCATTCCTGTGGACATGCATGAGTTGGGGAACAAGGGTACAAGGTGGTTGAGCAGATCTCCCAGGTGACCATCTACCCAGTGCTCTTGGTCTGGAGTGGAATTCTCAGGAAGTAGGGCTCCTGGGAAGAAACAGAAAGAAAGCAGTGGGGGAGCGAGAGTTCCAAGAGATCTCAGCACTGCTGGCATTGGCTCAGCTGAGAGGGGCAATGAAAAACCACCTGTGACAAGTAGGGAATCAGGAGGCAAACTTGCGGCAGTGGTGAGCTCCGGGTGTGACAAGGGGGGAAGCAAGGAGCAAGCTTGTGGCAATGATGAGGGTTTCTGCCCGTAGGACCTGGATTGATCTTCATCATCTACCCTGAAGCAATCGCCACACTCCCGCTGTCCTCGGCCTGGGCTGCTGTCTTCTTCCTCATGCTGCTCACTCTGGGCATCGACAGTGCGGTAAGTAACGCATACCCCAAGGCTCCACAGCCGTGCCTCACAGTCAGCCTGTTCCTGGGGATGCTGCCCACACAGTTCCTCCAACCTCGCGTGCTTAGCACAGAGCTTGCACGTCAGGTTCAAACATTCCCCTAATCCCTGGAGACCCTCTCTGGACCTGAGTGGTAGTGGTTGAAATGCAACTTAGCCCTTTTCCTCCCTAATCCAGTATCGGGGTCTGAATACACACAGAGCAGAACTCTAGCAGTCACAGGGTTGGCTCATAATGGCAGAGTGATTGATTGGCTACTCCTGCACAGCCAGGCCTTCCCTGACCTCTGGACTCCCTTAGGATAGAGGCTGTAACCCTGGCTGGGCCTTGGACTCTTTGCAGCCCCCTGGTATCCAACCTCAAAGGGGCTGGAGCTAATGAGCTCTAGTAGACGCCTCTAGCACCACCAACTGCTGAAGACCATTTACTGAGTCCTAATATCAGAACTGGCTGGTGGCTCTGGGCTGCCTCATGCCATTTACCCACCCTGACAGAGCTTAGCTATTGTATGCTTCCTGGAAAGCCAGAACCAGGAATCCCGCTTTCCGAGAACATGGATCTCATACCACAGCCCCCACTCCATCTTACACACAGCTGGTGATAGCCCATGAGTTTCGTGTCTTGTATCCAAGAGGGCACATCTCATGAGCATTGCTTGCAGACCATAGGCCCTACCTGGCTACCCCCAGTGGGGTGTAACTTGGGGACCTATCCAATTCCAAGCCCGCGGCTATGCTTGAGGGAGGGACAGTTTGCTTTGGACAGCTTCAAAGTGACTGTGTGGCTGCCATCCATAGAATCTTTCTGAGGCCCGTGTCAGCAGGGAAACCTCATCAAGGTCTCTTCTTGTCTTACCCCCAGACTGTTACACTTTTCCTTCACACCTGCCCTGAGGACACACTCACTAAATGTAAAGTCAAGCACTGGGAGGGTAATGTCAACCACCACTCTCTGTGTTCTGCAGATGGGAGGAATGGAGTCTGTGATCACTGGGCTTGTTGACGAGTTCCAGCTACTGCATCGGCACCGAGAGCTCTTCACTCTTGGCATTGTCCTGGCTACCTTTCTGCTGTCTCTCTTCTGCGTCACCAATGTATGTACTCGCCCGCTCCTGTCCTCTCAGCCCTGGTGCCAGGCAGCACAGCTGGTGCCATGGGAACAGACACAGCGCAGCCTTTCTAAGAAGCTTCATCCTCTCCCTCAAGTAAACCGACTTCCCTGTAGTCGTAGGCAGCGCAAACACAGATCTGGAACCTGGTCCCAGAGAGAATTCAGTGCTTGGACCTTCCACTGAAGCTGCCTTTCTGGGGGTGGGAAGGGGCTGGGAAGTGGCAGGGGCCTTTCTGTGGTGTTTGGGCCACTTCTGCACAGGAGACACCTCCAGGATTGGCATTTGAGTGCCTCTGTTCCTGTTATTTGGAGCCTGGGAAGGGAAAGCCAGGGAGAAGTGGTTTCTTTATTATTTATTTAGGATGTTTCCCTAAGAAGCTGTGTGAATCCATGACTCAAACAAACCAAACTTTATAGGGGTAAATAGTGTTTATCTCCAGAGTGAACCCATAGGATGGGTTACCTTCCAGAGAAGGTATTTTGATGGACAGCTGCTGTAGCTGTCCCCAAGTTCATTGGGAGCTCCTTCTCTTCCAGGGTGGCATCTACGTCTTCACACTGCTGGACCATTTCGCAGCTGGCACATCCATCCTCTTTGGGGTGCTCATTGAAGCCATTGGGGTGGCCTGGTTCTATGGTAAGTCTTGGTGGTCGGACCAGCACTGTGGCATCGGTGTGTCAACTGGGCCTTCCAGCTTGCTTTCTGGCAACATCACTTTGAAAAGAGGCATTTGAACTCCACTGGATGCCAAAAATTTAAGCCATGGCTCTCATGGCATCACTGGATGTATGGCCAGGGTCTGTCTGTTGGATCAAGGACAGACAAATGGCTACCTGGGAAGCCATTTTGTGGTCAGAGTTCAGAGAGGCTGTGTTGTGTGGGAGAGTAAGGCTTATTGAATGCTCTACCCTTTACAACAAGCTGTCAAAAGGTAAATACCCCATCCAACGAGCCAGGGCCTACCAACAAGTGCAGAATAGCTTCAGCTCCATCTGGGAGGAGTCTGGCCTACCTGTCATTGTAGTGACCTTGGTAATATAATTCAGTTGGTCACTTCCCACGGGTGCATCTTACATGTACCTTCTGGACAGGACCCCTGACCAGTCAAGTTGATTGAGCATAAGTTAGAACCATAGGTCTTCCTATGATAATAGCCCATTAGCCATTTATGTGCTAAGTCTCTCTGGGGGTCTGGAACTGATCACAGGGCTCCTAGGAGCTTCAGGATCATGGGGGTCTCAAGTACTTGGCTGGGATCTATAGGAGGAGGAGCGGGCCCTTCCCACCATCTTCTTGCCACAGTGGGGTCTAATGGTGTCCTGGAGCATGAATAGAGCTCTAGGAAACCTTGATCAGAGTTCTAGACAGACTTTCTGATGAGACCATGAGGTCTGCTGTGCTCCTAGCTGGGCACCCGACTCCAGTACCATGAGCCAGAGACCAGGACAGAAGTTGGTGAATGGAGTCACTGTTAAGATCTCCTTACCAATTCCTGAATAAGAAAGGCTGAATAATAATGCTGAAAGAAGGGTATTTCTAAAGTGAACTGCTGGTAGAAATGCCAGTTATTAAATATGTAGAGATAGCTTTAAATTAAAAACAATTGCACACACATATACACACATGCACACACTCAACCCCCCCCCCACACACACACAGAGGAATATTTAGCCTTTGGAAAGGAAGAGATTCTGGTACATTCTCCAGCATGGATGAGCCTCAGGGACACATATACTAACTGAAGCAAGCAAGTCCCCAAAGGGCATGTACTGTGATGCCACCTATATATGATCCCTCAAGGGACCAAGTTCCTAGAAAGAGAGTAGAATGCTAAGCGTTAGGGTGGGAGTTGGAGTTGAATGGACAGAGTCCCTGGTGGGGAAGATGAGAAAACTGAAGGTGGAAGGTAGCCATGGAGCCATTGAGCTGACCCTCAAAATAGTAAGTTTGTGATGGGTGTATTTTGCTATAGTGTTTGACAAGGGGCGAATTACTGCTTGCAGAAGGAGGTAGAGAGACTGTGGGACCTGGAGAAGGAGATGAGCAGGGTAGGAATGGAGTATTGCTGGTCCCTCACCCTGCAGACCACAGCCCTCTTTGAAGCATCAACAGAGTCAATTAGCACATGGCTGGGCAGAATCAGAAATATGACATCTGAAGGGTGAGGCCCCTGACTGTCGAGAAGAACCTATGTATGTCCAGTTTCATGACCAGTCCCATGGCTATCTCTTCCCCCTTAGGTGTCAAGCAATTCAGCGACGACATCAAGCAGATGACAGGGCAGAGACCCAACCTGTACTGGCGGCTATGCTGGAAGCTGGTCAGTCCCTGCTTCCTCCTGGTAAGAACCGTGGACCATGACCCTTCCTGCCTCTGCCCTTGAGTCCATCCCAATGCCTTGAGATCATTGAGAAAGATGTCAGAGAGCTCACCTGGCTTCATGCACCAATTATCAGTGATGTGTGATAATACGTAGCTACACAGGACAGCTCACATCCCTCTGCAGCCTGAGGAAACTCTTGCACCCACTCAATTGGTCATGTGTAGAATACAGCCAGTATCAGCGGCCCGGGAGATCTGCCTGGGAACCTCCATTTCACTGACTTCTTGTCTCTGACTGAACCAGTTTTTCCTTTTTTTTTTTTTTAAACTATTCTGTCTTCTCCCTGTTGACAAGCCTCACCCTCTCCAACATGAAAGAGCTGACCTCGATCTTAGGAGACATGAGGGAGTCTTTGAGCTTCATTCTCTATTGCTTCACAGTATTAGATAAAGCCTATAAATTATGCTAGACAGTTCATTCTACCAACTTCGTGGAAGCATAACGTATGTAATTTCAAACTTACATTTCAAACCCGTTCCATATAAAGTAATGGATCTTAGCAGAATAAAAAGCTACCTCATGTTTCTCTAAGCCACTGTGTTATCAGAGTGTGCACGGCAGGCATGTTATCATGTGACTTCTGCAGCAGATCATACTCCCAGACAGACTGACCCGATCAAAATCAACCTGGATGTAAGGGTGTGGCTTTGGCAGACATGGCAATTTCTAAGAAATGCGTCCTCTGTTGGAACCAAAAACAAGCATGTGTGTGTCCAAATATATTTTCCAAGATGGTGTGGTTGTATAGTAAACTTTGCTGACCCTGAGGAATATACCATAAGTGAGGATCTGCACCCAAAACTGCATCCTAACCCACATCCACTGAACTTCCTATGTTTAGGAAGGGCTTTTGTTTCCAGGTACATAGAACATGTGTAGGTATGCAGCTCATGCCAATCATGTGCAGGTACAAAGTGCAAGTGTGGTATGAAGCACATGTTTAAGCACATATGCATGCATAGTGTATAGATACATAGTGCATGTATTGGTGTGCAGTATAGATACAAACTGTCTGATAGGCACACATGTAAGCACACTTAATGTACTTAATGAAGTAAATGTGTACTTACACAGTATGTGTGTAGGTATACCATGTGTAGTTACACAGTATTGTGTAGGTATACCATGGGTGCCTTAGAAAGACATTATATTGTTTGGGTAGCCTGACTGGAGTTGGCACTTGTGGCTTGTGTGGCTGGGAGGACTTCTATAGATCACTTGCTGATTTTTCTGCTCCGTCTTTGCACTTACCTTTGTGGGTGACCTATGTCCCCATTTATTTCAGTATGTGGTTGTGGTCAGTATTGTGACCTTCAGACCCCCACACTATGGAGACTACATCTTCCCAGACTGGGCCAATGCACTGGGCTGGATCATCGCCACATCCTCAATGGCTATGGTGCCCATTTATGCCACCTATAAGTTCTGCAGCCTGCCAGGGTCCTTCCGAGAGGTGGGTGTTTTCAAGGGGGCTCCTTACCCTAATGGTTCAGGCGTCCCCATCCCTGAACCATCTCAGTTAGCAGGAGCCTGGAGGTGGGACCATGATGGGAAGATGGGCTGGTGCAACAAAAGGAGGGACATGCATGTGTATGTATGCATATTTGTGTTTGTGTGTGCTGGTGTGTTCACATATGTGAGTGTAAGTGTGTGTGTGTGTACACATGCATGCGCGCACAGTTTCCCTGGACTGAGCAGCAAAGTCCAATGCACCTGTTTGGTCTAAGGACTCCACCTTGGAGCCACAGTGTCCCTTGGTGCTGGACACCACAGCATCTCACAGACCTGGTAGTCAGAGGTACCTTCGTCAGGCAAGCCATACCTGGTCAAGAACAAAAGCAGAGTGTGTGGCCAGGCCAGAGCACAGCCTTTCTGATTCCAGGTTTAGAAGGAATAGGTCCGCCACCATGCCCTGGTGATAATCAAAGATAATCCTGGGGGCCTGGGTGACATCTGGGCTCTTAAGAACAGATGAGTAGAAGGAAACAATATTTCCTGCAGGGAACAAGTGACAGGCCCTGTGGGACCTGAAAGCATCCAGTGAGGGTCATAGATCTCAGTGGGCACTGCACCCCTGTACACCAGAGTTGAGGACCTGATTCTGCGGCTCCTGAGCCTAACTCCTTTAGGGGGAGTCCTCATTGTTATAGTGGGTGCTGGCTGGTCTGTGCCACCCTGGGCCCCATGCCATACCAACAACCCCATTCTCTCCTAGAAACTGGCCTATGCCATCACACCTGAGAAAGACCGCCAGCTAGTGGACAGAGGGGAGGTGCGCCAATTCACGGTGAGTCTGACGCCCTGTTCAACTCCCTCCCCGGGGGAGGGGATTCAGAGAGACCCGAATAGTATCTTCCAACTGCTCTAACACCCATAGTACCCACAGCTGTTCTCACGCCCCCCCCCCCCCCCCAAGATCAGGAAGCTTTGCACAGAAAAATGTTTGTCACACCAGCCAGTATTGGATGCTCTCCGGGGCCACCTAGAAGTCTGAGGTTGTGGGCAGGGCAGTCCATGGAGATGAGCAGCCAGGGTGACGCTACAAGGAGGCCTGCATGAGAGGAAGAGCCCATGGGACAAATGTGAGCATCCCTAGGATCTCCATTCTTGGAGAAAAGACAAGAAAAGGATCATGAGGCAGAGGCCCTGAAGTAACCCCAGAAGCAGAGCCAGGAGGGCTGGCGTTCACAGGGAAAAGATAAAAGCTTGGAGTTAGTCAGATGCCCATCAGGGAACCTGAGGGCTGGGAGGCCCAGTTGAGTGAGAGGAGAATCAAGCCTGGTCAGGTGTCCACGGAGCAGGCAGGTCCTCTCTCCTTTGAGAGGCAGGTGACATGTGCTATGAGCCCATATGTTGTTCTGAGGGTAGTCCCTCCTCTAACTGCTGTCATGGTGAATGTAGCTGCACCTGGTACCTTTGATGGGGGGGAAAACCATCCCTTTGGCTTTCTCAGTGATTTGTGACTTTGGTATCTTTTGCAACACTAACATAAGCCACAAGTTACACCCTGATGATCTAACCCAGCTGGCTGAGTCACTCACAGAGAGGGGAGCATCATCTTACTACCATGTGTACTCCGCCACATTTTCAGTGTGCATTTTTTCCTTCCAGTATTATTTTCTTGGTTCGCAAACACAAATCCTTGAGATGTGTTCTTAATGAACGAACAGACTCCCGACCTTCAGGTGTCTATAACCCTTTCGTGTTGCCTGTGTCCCTGAAAGCTCACGGTCCCCAGTCCCAAGGGCCCTTCACAGCTGCACTTTAAAATCCCCCTTTACTCTTCTGTTTTGCTTCGGGGCTCTAGAGTATATGCCTGGGTCCTATCTACACATGGCTGCTTTCACATTTGGACTTCAGGCACAGTTACACAGCGGCTCTGGTCACTGGTCCATACATTATCTGCTCACTCCTTGTATTTCCTCTCTGTCCTATGGATGCTTTCTGATGTAACTCCCTGCTCATGCTTCTGTGCTTACCAAATCACTGGGAACTTCTTCTGTCTTTATTGATCTAGCCACTTATTTTAAGTTTAATCAGTGTTTTTCTGGAATGTATACTATTCTGTGAGCCTGTGCAAAAGACTTACCCTCTTGCCTGTCAGTTTCTTCTTTTTTTTTCTTTTTTAAAAAAATATTTATTTATTATGTATACAATATTCTGTCTGTGTGTATGTCTGCAGGCCAGAAGAGGGCACCAGACCTCATTACAGATGGTTGTGAGCCACCATGTGGTTGCAGGGAATTGAACTCAGGACCTTTGGAAGAGCAGGCAATGCTCTTAACCATTGAGTCATCTCTCCAGCCCCATAGTTTCTTCTTTTGAGGCTCATTTTGGGTCTTTTTAGATATCTTCTATATCTCCTCTTCACTTTTTGTACAAACATACTGAGATTTGAACTTTCCTGTCAGTTGGGGGTCAGTGTCAGGCTTTGCTCCGCAGGGCTTTTTTAAATTTAAGTTTTCTTTTTGTTTCCAGTAAATTTAATCATAGCCAAGGTATGTGGCCTTTTCTTATTGCATCCTGAATATTTTTTAACATCTGTGTGTGCATGTTAGGATGGGAGGCAGTGTGTGTGCATGTGTGTGTGCGTGCATGCGTGTGTGTGTTTGTACATGCCTATGGAGGCTGGAACAATATCGTAGGATATTCTGAGCGTCATCCTCAGTACCATGACTAACATTTCTTTTTTTTTATTGATTTTATTGAGCTCTACATCTTTCTCTGCTCCCCTTCCTGCCTCTTCCTTCCCCACTTCAACCCTCTCCCATGGTCCCCATGCTCCCAATTTACTCAGGAGATCTTGTCTTTTTCTGCTTCCCATATCAATTAGATCTATGTATGTCTCTCTTAGGGTCCTCAGTGTTGTCTAGATTCTCTGAGATTGTGATTTGTAGGCTGGTTTTCTTTGCTTTGTGTTTTAAAATCACTTATGAGTAAGAATTGTCCCATTTATTGTTTCTCTCAGTGTCTGTGCTACTGGGGTTTTATTTAAGAAGTGTTCTCCTGTGCTAATGAGTTCAAATGTACTTCCCACTTTCTCTTCTATAAGGTTCAGTGTGGCTGGCTTTATGTTGAGGTCTTTGATCCATTTGGACTTGAGTTTTGTGCATGGTGATAGATATGATCTATTTCCATTCTTCTACATGTTGATATCCAGTTATGCCAGCACCATTGTTAAATGTGCTTTCTTTTTTTTTATTTGATTTTTTTTTTTGCTTCTTTGTCAAAAATCATGTATTTGAAGGTGCGTGGATTAATATCTGGGTCTTCTCTTCAGTTCCATTGGCCTTTTAGTCAAGGTTTCACTATAATCCTTACTGGTCTGGAACTTGCTATACAGACCAGGCTGGTCTTGAACTCAGAGATACACCTGCTTCAGCTTTCTGAGTGCTGGTATTAAAGGAATGTGTCACCATGCCTGGTTGAGTATTTTCAATACCTTTAAATATTCTTGGAACTCCTTGGACCTGTGGAGGTGTGCTTTTTAATATCTGTTGGGCAGACCCCAAGAAGTATTACATAGATCTTTCTTTCTGTTGTACGGCTTAAGGAAGAAAGGTTTCCAGCCTCTCTCCTATCTCTGGTTCAGTGTGCCAGTCAATAGTCTTATGAGCCTTGTTTTAAAAACATTTAGCAGCGCAGAACTCTCCAGGCAGTGAGTGTCAGCAAATGGCTCATGAGCACAAACTGGTTGAGCACGCAGCAGAGCAGCAGGCTGCTGGTCTCAACCCCCCACACCTTTGTGAGCTGCTCCCCACTTGCCCCTGGACCACACCCAGCAAAACCGGCTCCTGAGTGCAGCACCCCCTGGGATGGACCCAACAGAGGTTCAGCAGGCAGGGGAGGAGGACACTGCCGAGCCACTCACAAATCAGTAGGAGGATAATACGGAGCCAGCTCTGGATCTAAAGATGTCCTGCGTCTTTCACCTCAATTGCTGGTCACAAATATGCTGGCCCAGAACCTCTCTGACCTTCTCAGCAACTGAGCTCTACAGGCACGATTATTTGTTATTATGTTGGTTCTGTTTTATTTTGCTTTATTCTGCTTGCTTGCTTTTGTTCAGACAGAATTTCACTGTAGCCCAGGCTAGCCTCAAACTCACACCTCCTGCTTCAGCCTCCTGAGTATTGTGATTACAGACATTAGCTGCTGTGCCTAGTATCCTTATCTCTTCTTCATCAAGTAATTCAGTCCTTTAAAGTTTACCCCAGGCCATCAGCTCTTGGTGCCCCTCAGGAGTGGCATCCATCAGTGGTAAGCACCCCATGGGTGAGTGGTACCTCCTATTGAGTTGTTGAGACAATTCTGATCTCATCATAGGGCCACTGGCCCATAAGTGATGACTAAGGTCTGTTCTTCACTTCTGAATAAACAATGCTTTCTTTCCAGCTGCGCCACTGGCTGTTGGTGTAAAGTGGAAGAAGACAGAAGCCAAGTGGGCCATAGCACAACCGCAGGGACAGGGAGCTCACGAAAGGAAACCGGAGCGTCAAGAAAGGATCGCCGCTTCCACACTTCCCCTTTGCTATATGGAAAAACAATCAAAGCACAGGCTTCAGTCTTTGACTGTTCACATCCAATCCATGCTACCAAAAAAAGAGGCCTCTGTCTGTACATGGCTGTAAGAACACTCATCTCTAGACAGTGAGGTCAACCATGTCCCTGTCTCTGCCAGGTGGTATCCTGTCCCTGCGAGGCTGACTCCCCCATGTGTGATCACCGCGGGAGGATGGGTCTTACCATCCCCTGTACTCTAGGAGAGGGACCTGGGTACCTGTATATACACTGTGCCGGAATCCTTGTGCTCACAGTAGCTGCCTAGATCATTTCTTTTGCTCAGATTTACAATGCCAAGTAATCCTGTTTTGTCTGCTGTGTAGAAGGTAGGGAAGACAGTCAATACATGCCAAGTGCTTCCCTGGTGCTTGGCTCTGAGCAGACACCACGACCTTAGCATCCTGTTCATACATCACACACACATAGGGTCTGTTCTGAGCCTTGGAGGACAAGGAACTTGGTGCAAGTAACCAGAGATTCTATGTTTTTTTTTTTTTCCTTTGTAGCCGAGATAAATAGACATGAAATAAGGTTGAGATACAGCCCCTACTTCTGGCCCCTGGGAGGTCTGCTCAGCTTGTGGTCACTTCAGTATGGAATTTTAGGCCACAGAGAAAGTGTACTCCTTATAGTCAGTGTGTCTCAACCCCTGGACACCTGCTCTGCAAGGGTCCCAAAGCAAAAGATCATATTCTTGGCCTGGAGTCATGCCTGATCTTTGAGGAAAGATACCCGTTATTGGGTTTGATTTCCCAGAGGCTCTCATTACATCAATGAACATTATCCACGTTATGACTTTTTAAAATCGTATTTATGTGTGAACCAAAATTCAAGGTTAGTTTGTTCAAATCTGTTTGCTGATTTCCCTGTTTTTGTTCACAAGAGTAATTAGCAATACCATAGGAAGAAGGTAGACCAAGAACCACCTTCCCACAGAGTGCTGGCCTTAGCCCCTGGAGTGAAAAGCAGATGTTATGATTTTCCTTTGATCTAATAAATGTGAACTTTGGCCTGACCTGTATCCTACAGAAATGGGAGAGCTAAACATAGGCGTTCTCTGCAAGTAGACATTGGTACGAAGGACTTGAATGTGCTACCAGGTGGAAATTTGGGGCTATTGACTTCAAGACTGCTGTGGCTGAGAAGGATCGGGGTTACTATCTCCTCTCTGAGGAGTGGCTCCGTGTAGCAATCCAGGTTTCATCAGCATCTGTTTTTGTCTCCATAGTCAGTACCTTGTATCGGTCCTTACAAACAATAAAAGAAATATATGTTGGAAACAAGCTCCTCTAGGCTGCCTTGTGTTTCTTGGCTGTTATCATGTATGGTATCCAGCTTACCTTCTCATACATGGAAAAGGGGTGGGTCCAGCTCTCCTAGAGAGAACTTCCATCTAAATACCCCTCAGCTTGTCCCCTACCCCACTGCACATCCCCCATACACCTCCACACAGGCTTCTCCCAAGCCTGGAGCGAGTTTGTGTGTGAGACTCACAGGTGTGCTGGGTATAGCATTGATTTTGCTCCAGGTCCACACCCCTGTGATGTTGGTGGCACTCACTGTAGCACTAACCTGCTCATCTCAGCAGGGCACGTTGTCTACCTGACCCCCTTCCTCCAGTCCTCCTCCCATCGATATCCCATCAGTTCCTCCACATCCAGACTTGGTCCTCCCGGCTCAACCGCCACCAGGATCTCTGAGATCCCCTTCCAGAGACTAATTCCAGGATCTTCTGAATGGGCTTCTATGCCCTGTGTTCTATTCTGTGACTTGAGGAACTCCTTGGACACCTAAGAGAAACCTCCATCAGTCTCCTTATGTTTGGTTTAGTGCAATATTCTTAGTCTGACTTATGACAAGTCATAAGTCATCAACCACCATGACAATACAATAGTCTCCCTACAACCCATGGTATAACAAGCACTTCCATCAACATGACTACTGACAGATCCCTAAAGAACAACCTTGCTTCCTTCAGGTTTTTGGTCCTTTGAAAAATGGTTGGAGAATTCACCTTGATCCCAGATCCACTAAGTAAGTAAAACCCTCGCTGCCAGAGTCCACTCGTGAGCTCCAGAATGATGGCCATAGCAGCCTTGAGGGTGGTAGACCCACTTCCTGGTTGACCATGGCCACTGTCTGTAGTGCAAGTCACTCTTCAGCTATAAAAACAGCTGTGCCTGCTTAGGGGTTTGGGGAGGGATGCACTAACCAATGCCTGTGGCTCAGGACATATACAGGGCTGGAACTACTTGCCATCACCCACTTCCCAGCCTCCAGGTTTTGATTGTTCACACTATGCCCTGCACAGCACAGGAGGAGAAGAAGGCATGAAGGCTGAGTGGGAGCCAAAGTTCTCAGAGATGAGTGGTATGGACAAGCACCTTGAGAAAACATAAGGAACCCATGTAACTGATACCCCAGGACTGGGGCAGCCACTAAGCCACATTCCTGGAACCTTTAGCTGCTCTGCCAAGCATCCAAAGCTAGAAGGAGCTGTGTAGAATGTAAATGACTAAAGACTGACTTGCCTAGTGCTCGCTACAACACATGACTCAGAAGATGCCCTAAGGAGCAAGGGAGGGGGAGGTGTGTGCTCTGAATACGTAAAGAGCTTTTACAAATCAATAAAATGGTGGTTCTTTGAGGGAACAGACAAAAATCATGAGTGGGTACTGAGTGATTCGTCTTTCATTACTGCAGCAAACACCCGAGAAAACAAGACATAAAGAGAAAGGGGTCATTTTAACTCATGGCCTTGGAGATTCCAATCCATAATTGGTTGGTCCTATTGACTTGGGGCATCATGATGACAATGAGTATCAAAATGGATCCATCATGGGATGGGACATAAAGGAATAACAGGAAGTTAGGGTGCCACGATCCCCTTCAAGAGCATTCCCCTCATTCAACCCCTTCCACTAAAGGATCAACCACCTCCTAACAATGTAAAACTAGAAACCAAGCCTTCGGTACAAAAGTACACTTGGGTACATTCCAGATCTGAACTTCAGTAGATTCGCTCCAAAGGAGAGTGGCTAAGAGGTCAGAATCTAGAGAAAGGGGCTCAGACTCACTCATTACCAAGAGCCACAAGGAAGCCCTCACAGTCCTGAGACAGCTAAAATCTAAGACTCTGTGCGCTGGCACCCAGTTCGCGAGCTTCGGGCAAGGGGGCTGGAGGTTAAAATACACAGACAGAGAGTCAGCGACACAGGTCATCCTTAAATTCCCCAAGAATGCTCCTTTATTGTGTTCAGGGGCAGATTATATAGAGATAGCCACGCCCCAGCCAAACCCACCAGAAACCACTCTCCTGCCATCAGGAGCTCCTGAAGGTCTCGTGCTCAGAGCAGCTGTAGGCACTCAGATCAGGGGATTACAAGAAATTCAGGATCTGGGGTCTCACTGCTCCCAACAGGTCAGAATCTAGAGAAAGGGGCTCAGACCCCCTCATTAAATAGAGCCACAAGGAAGCCCTCACAGTCCTGAAACAGCTAAAATCTAAGATGAGGAGAAAGAACACTGGTGCATTCTGGGGAGAAGCATGCACAGTGTGGTGGCTTGAGCAGAGTGTAAGTACTCTTGGAGTCTCACTCCATGTGTGGGATTCCCTTCACCTATCAGCTGTGGCACCCCCACACACTGTGGTGATGCTCCACTACACTGTGACCCAGCCCCAGGGACTGCATCAGACCTAGCCTATCATCAAGCCAACCTGACTTGACATTCCTTTGGGACCAGAGTGAGTTGGACCCGAAACCATGCTTGATTCTAGCCCCTTCATCTCCTTATTCTATTTGCTTAACCCATTCTAATTCTCACAAGAGCTCCCACCATGGAGTGAGGGAATGAGAATCTTGCTCAGGAATTCTCAGAAGTTCCAACCTCAGATATGTGTCTGTGAAAGGCTGTATCTATCTCAGTGTGCCCACCAAGGGTCATTCATCAAACCCAAGCCCTGTGGTCTACCCTTTTATACCCACTAGAGATTATGTCTCCATCCTGAGGGCATCAGTGGTGCATTAGAGTTCACAGACACACACACACATGAGTGTTCATAAAAGTCCAAAGTAGGCACAGCTGATATTAAACATATTCCTGCTTGGGGTAAGGAAGACCCTTTAGTTAATGATACTGACCTATGGATTAGAGCCATAGATTGAATTGTTGAACCTATCTGAAGAAGCTCTACTCCCTAATATCTATTAAGAAGGCTTTATAGATGTGTTACTACTTTTATTTTATACGCAACATACATTCACGTAATCATACCATAGCATGCAAGTGGAGGTCAGAGAGCGACTTGAAGGAGCTGATTCTCTCCTTCCACCGTAAGAGTCCCAAGGATTGAACTCAGGCCATCAGGATTGAATTCCACCTGCTGAGCCATCTTGCTGCCCCCAAAGGTGATTTAAGCAGAACATAGCGTTACCACATAAGATATTATGAATGACCCTAAATCCAATGTGACTGGAGTCCTTATGAAGAAGAAAGACTCCATGATTGAAACACGGGGAAAGGATGCCATGGGACCAGAGAAGCAAAGATGGAGCAGGGGGGCTTTCAAGCCAAGGCACACCAGGATTGCCAAGCACACCAGAGGCTGGAGACCCTCAAAGTGCCCAGAGGAGCTGACTGGTAGATTGCTGGGTAGTTTTGCATCTGTGTGGTTAATTCTGCATCTTCATATTTATCTCAAGTGCAAATGGCACCATGTGTGTATGGGCTTGTGTCTGTGAGTTTTGGTAAGTTCTAACTTTTCAAAATGTTTTAACTGCTTCATACCTTTTTAAGCATGATTTTTGATTAATCCTTTGAAAGTTTCATGTACTCATACAATGTGTTTGGAACATAGTCACTCATACTCCTTCTAGGTCACACACCACCCTCCAACCCTCCCAACTCCCTGTCCCTTTCTTCTTAATTACCTACTCATTCTAGTTTGTGCTACCCATATCTTCATGAATTTATGGGTGATGCATGATTAATAAAAACTCAGGATCAGAAATTGTGGTTCTACCTGAATATCTGAAAAGCAGAGACCTTTCTAAGGTCTAAAAGTTGTAGTTATTGTCTAGAGGTGAGACCCACAAAACTCGCCCCCTTCCATGTTAGTATGCCCCCTTGATAATGCTATTGCTCTTATTTACACAGCCAATTGTAGGAGAGACTCTCAGAAGACTTCCTGGTGTTCTGGCTCTTAGAGTCTTTCTGCCCATTTTACTGTGATGTTTCCTGAGCCACAGCCAACTGTGAAGTAGATGTATTCATTGGGGCTCCCGCAATATGTTGATCTCTACATTGTGTCCAGTTGTTTTCTCCAATAGTCTCCATTTGCTATTTAAAAAAAAAAAGGCTTCTTTGATGAGGGAGAGTAGCTACACTTATCTGTGTCTATAAGGATAAAATTTAGAATGTTATTAAGGATTTGTGCTGGTCTAGGAAAGTGATTCTTTTCTAAAGTTCATGACCTCACTATTGCAGGGAAGCTGGCTGGGTGTGTCAGTACAAGGCATTATTTCCATCCTGCTGAATAGACCATACGTTCAATTAGACAACTGTTGGCTGTCACCAACATGAGTGCCACCTCTTTTCCCTTATATTTTGGTATTATAATATAATTAGATCATTCCCCCCTTCCCTTTCCAACCCTCCAAATCGTCCCATGTACTCCTCTGTTTTCAAAAGTGACACTGCTTATACCTTTGTTCCTATCTTGTCATGTTGGTAAGTGTTGTGGTTCATGGTGTTGCAGGTGGGAAAGGCTGTGCAGGTGCTTCCCTCTCTTGGCAGCCAATAGCATTTTCTGGGACCACAAAAGCCAGACTGCAGGGCAGAATATCTCGGGTGTGTCCCACGTGTGTAATGCCTTCAGCAGTAAGAATTTACCCTCAACCCCTAAAAGACAACCACGAGCTATATCTATAATCTATGTTGTTTGAGTAGTTACTTGGATTATCCTAATGAACCCTTCAAAAGGAGGTTTCTCCTGCCTGATACTGGGGTTTTTGTTAGTTTCGTGGTTCATTGTCAGCCCAAGTGGCTTAACTTCCTGTAAGGTGTGTGTGTGATTTTAGGTACATATAAAATAATAAGATTCCTTGAGTCTTTATGAAACAACCTTAGTGTTATTTGTCCCTTGCCTGGCTTATTCTTCTGAATTAACCCCCTTACTCCTCCTCAGTTAATACCACCCCCTTTATTCTAGTTCTGTGTCATAGTATTTATATTCTGCAATCCCCCTCCTAAAACCTCCCACCTACGGTCACTTTATACAACTACTGACTGCTTGGAGAAGGAGCCTCTTTATTGGTTGCCCAACGTGGAGAGGTCAGCTTTGAAACCATATAAACACAAACAACAAAATCAGACTCAGCAGGTTATATGTGTGTGTGCTTATACATGTTTATATATACACATATATGTGCATACACATCACGTGTGTGAAAGAGACAATATAACCAATAAAAAAAGAAGCTATTCACTTCACAATGCAGGTCATGGCGGGGGGGGGGGGAATTCAGGGTGGGACTGGAGAGAGTAAAAGGAGAAGGGACATGATGTAATTCTATTTTAACTAAAATGTTAAAAGGAAAAAATAAAAATTTGAGAAGCAACAAAACATAGTACATCAAGTTGCAGTAAGACTAAGCACCTTCCCATGTATGAAGGCTAGGCAAGGTGACCCAGTATGAGGATTAGGGTCCTAAAATCTAGTAAAGAGTCAGAGACAGCCCCAGCTCCCACTGTTAAGAGTCTCACAAGAGGACCAAGCTACACAAATGTAACATATATGTAGAGTGCCTAGGTCAGTCCCATGCAGTCTCCTTGGTTGCAGGTTCAGACTCTGTGAGCCCAGCCAGGTAGTTGAATCTCTGGGTTTTCTAGTGGTGTCCTTCACACCTCTGGCTCCTAAAATCTTTTCTCCCCTTCTTCTGCAGGATCCCCAAGCTCCACCTAATGTTTGGTTGTGGGTCTTCATCTGTGTCCACCAGTTGCTGGATGAAGCCTCTCTGGTGACAATTGGACTAGGTGCTGATCTATGAGTATAGCAGAATAACATTAGGCATCATTACAATGACATTTTCCCCTCTAGTCATGTTTGGTTCTATCCTAAGTCTCTGGGTCATCCAACCTGAGGGTTCTGATCCTCTAGGCAGTATCAGGGGTTAGGATACTCTCCTGCCATGGGTTTAAGACTAGGTCATTGGTTGGCCACTCCCTCATTTCTAGGCCACCCTTATCCCAGCACATTCCATAGACAGGACAGACTGTAGATCCAAGGTCATGTGGGTTGGTTTCTCACTCCACCACGTGAAGTCTTGTCTGGTCACAGGAGATGGCCTGTCAGGCTAAGTGTCCACTATTGCTAGGAGTCCTAGCTGGGGTCATCCTTGTAGATTCCTGGGAGAATCCCTTGCAGCAGGTTTTTATCTGGCCCTGAAATGTCCCCATTTCCAGTAGTCTCTTCCTGTACTCTCCCTCTTCTCCTGCTCCAACCTGATCTCTCATGTTCCCATCCTCACCCACCCTCAGACCACTCACAAAATCTCTTCTATTTCCCCTTCCCGGGGAGATCCAGGGAACCCCCCTTGAACCTTCCTTGTTACCTAGTCTCTCTGCATCTATGGATTGTAGTATAGTTATCCCTTATTTTACAACTAATAAGTGAGTACATACCACATTTGTCTTTCTGGATCTGGATCTGGACTCAGGATGGTGTTTTTGCTAGTTCCATGCATTTGCCTTCAAAAATACTACATTATATAAATGTACCACATTTTCTTTATCTGTTCCTCAGTTGAGGGACATCTAGGTTGTTTCCAGGCTCTGGCTATTACAAATGAAACTTCTGTGAACTGAGTTGAGCAAGTGTCCTTGTGATATGATTGGACATCCTTTAAGTATATGCCCAAGAGTGGTATAGCTGGTCTTATGGTAGATCGATTCCCAATTTTCTGAGAAACCACCATATTGATTGCCAAATAACCTATGAAATTCTTCTGGGAGTCTTTCCCAAGTTGTTCGAGTCTTCAAGATCTCCATGTTCAATAGACCTACCTGTATTGCTGGAGAACCATCAAAGAAGCCCAGAAGTCCCAGGATGGGGCTTACAGGTGCTGAAGAAATCAAGGCACCAGACTGAGAGTCTGAGGCTGCAAAGTTCAGTGGTGCTGACCCAGGCTTCACGCCATCCTTATCTTGTATCACCCACTTATTCCCTCCATCTGGGAAAGTCTTCTTTCCAACCCCACCCACCACTCTCTGATCACTACCTCAGCCCAGTCTCCTTCGGATATTACCCCTAGAAGTCAAACTGACCCAACCATTGAAGTTCTGGCTCATGGTCCACACTCCTTGAGCCCACCATTCTCCTGGGGTTTCTCTATCAGATGTCATTTTGCATAAAGTTTGCCGCTTCTCTTCCTTCCAAGTTTGACTGAGAGCAGATGCTGACTTATTTTCATTTGATTTCCAATGGTGCCTTGAATAGGCCTGTCACACAGTCAATAGTTACACTGAATATGTTTATATAGGTACAGGGGTGATGAATGAGGGGGTGGGTAGGCTGATGGACAGGTGGATGTGGTAGACCGAGGGGTAGATAGGTAGAAGAGTAGATGGATATATAGGTGGGTGAGTAGATATTTGGATGGGTGGGTAGATTGGTGAGTAGAGGGATGATGGATGGGTGGGTTGAGTTCATAGGTGGGTTGATATTGGTGGGTGGGTGGATGGTGGATGGGCAGGTGGACAGATAAATAGGTGTGTCGATAGATGGGTATGGGGGGAGACCAGTGTGAGGATGGATGGATGGGTGGTCTTGTATTACATCCACAACTTTGGTCCAATCCATCTTTCCTATATGACTGGAAATGTAAATGCTATATTTGGCATTTGTTCTCCAAAGACAGCTGGACTGTTGTGTTGAGTTTTAAATACACGAAGCAGGATTCTATTCTTGCATTAACTGGGTGCTGAAGCTGAGCTCTCAAGTGGGGAGGGCCACTGGACTGCTTCTCTCTGCTCCGAGGGGCCTGACCACCCCCTCTGCTCTTTACCATCGGATTTGAGCTCTTTGCTGACTGACCTTTAGACACAAAGTCTGAGTATTCAAGCCCAGAAAAGCCACGTGATTCCTCTGAGAGAAGCATTTTAATAAAGGCTCTGCAAGAGTAAAATACCTGGCTTAAAGGGTAAACAGATTCCTGTTTGGCTTCTCCCCTCACCCCCACAATCCTTCTTCAGTCTCTGTAGACTTGTCTGACTGTCCCTCCCCAAAGGTCACAGCATCTACCTGCTCCCTGATTACTGATTGCAGAAAAAAAATGGGTCCATCTTGGGGAAAAAAAGAGGAATAATTCGCAAGTTTTGTATTCCTGGCCCCTGTGGGAACATGGCACACCTGACCTCAGTTGTACCTTTTATTTCCCTCTTCCTAGGGTACCAGGTCACAACCACAGCCAACCTAATACTGCAGCTATGATACCAAATTGCCAGCACTGGGGTCTGACCCAGGGAGCCACCAAAACAGAAATAAAATGGACCCCCCCCCGACTTCTGTAGCCTATTTTTCACTGACCATGTTTGGGCAGAGCCAGGGTCCAATCTGTAGCTTCCTGCTGCGACCTTCTCCAAGTCACACAGCAAGCAACTCCAAGGTCATTACTACTCCTGGGTCTTACTCATCTCTGCGTCTGGAATCAAGGCAGACCTGCACAGGCAGACCAAGGATGTCCGGAGAACAGAACTGGAGACCCACAGGATCAGGGTCTCTGGAGTGACAACACAAGGAGGGTAATATTAACTTATAGAACAATTTTAAAAAGTGAGTCAGAAATACAGACCTCTGTTTGGGTAAACTAACCAAACATGAAGCATCAGTGGCTGTATTAATCAGAATTTTGGGGGGCACCAGCAGCTACTGACTCCTTATGGCTATAACAAGGACAGCCACCGTATCCCAAAGTCCAGCAAGGGAGCGAATGGGAGCCATCCTGGGACAACGGCTTTGCATTCCACCACCCTCCATACAGTGGAAGGACCAGAGAGCCATAGCTGGAACTTCATCCATATTGTGGTATGGTAGAGCCGAGGTCATTGGTGATGGGGCTACCTCCAGCCAGCCCCGAAGGAAGGCAAATGCTGCCAGTACAACATCTCACACAGGCCACATACAGCACAAGCCAAGCCTTGGGCTGTAAGCCAAGCCCAGTGCTGTTTCAGAGGGCCTGCTGTAATGGCTCAGGGCCCCAGGTTACCTTCCGAGAAGAAATGTTCATGAAGCATGACTTTTGACAAAGTTAGGGGATGGGCTGTCCTGTGTCGCTTCCTTGTGTCTTCACCTAGCAAATGCCTTCTGTACATCAGGACAACTGGACACTCAAGCTTGATCCTGAGACACAAGGAGTAGAAAGACGCATGCCAGTACTCCCCTCAGCAATGCATATACTAAAATCTGAATACAAAGGAAATTAGCATGGTCCTTGCACAAAGACGGCACACAAATTTGTGAAGTGTTCTATATTTTGGAGAAGCTTCTATTTGTAGTATATGATGATTAAGTCAGACTCACAACTGGATAAGATGCAGAAAATAAGAGATTGGAAAATGTTCATCTCTAAATGGAACATATATATTGAACCCCCCTTCCCAAGGCTCAGGGATAATTGCAAAACAAGGAACAGAAAAAGTAAGATCCAGAGGCAGTGCACGACTACAAGGAAGCAGTTTCTTCAGGACACACCTGCACATGTGAATTCACAGTGGTTGTGGCAGTATGTACAGACATGACCAAGTCCAAGCCAGAACAAAGCCCAGTATTGAAAGGGGAGTTGGTCATGTCATCCTTTTGAGGAATTAAGCCCAGGTGATCACCAATGTATAAGAAACACCTTGAGCTATTGACAATTGTTAGCTGCTGAGAGAGGTAGAGATGGTTTTCTCTGAGTTTTCTACCCCTGGTAGGTTGACCACTCTCCAGGGAAAAGACACATATCTAAGAATATTTTGGAAGCACAAGTTGTTTTTGATAGATGTCTTCAAAAAAAGACACAAATTTGGGTGTATGGGAATAGTTGGGGTAGGGGTAGCTGAATATTATCTAAACACATGGTATGAAATTATCAAAGAGCTAAGAAAGAAAAAAAGACCCAACAAACGCAGACCACAGGATCTCCTACAAGTTCAGGCTATACCCACCCACCCCCATGTCCAGCTGAAGCAGCAAGCTTCTGCTCTTTCCTGTCTGGCCTCAAATGGCTAAATTAATAGAGGATAAACCATCACCCCAAGAGTCCACTCCAAGTCCCTGGGTGGACACAGCATGTCCTGGAGAGGCCATCCTTTAGAGATGCTGTTCCAGGAAGTCCCCAGTACAGGTATCAGACACCAGCAGACAGATGGTTTGCAAGAAAAATCCCCAAATTATATTTGCTCAAAAACGCTGTTCTCCTGAGTGAGCGCAAACGATTCCACTTATAACTAAACTTCATACACAGAACCAAAGTTGAGTGTATCAAACGTCAAAGGTATTTACCTAGAATTTAAATAATTTTACTTATTCCAGGAGCTAAGCTCCTTCTTCCTTGGAGTTATTTGCCATATAGACGAAGGTTTCCATCAGACAGAACATTTTATTTGATTACATTTGGATGGTGTACATATTTACACAGTATCAGTGAGGCAGAAATGCCCTTTCAGAATCATGCTTTTGGCCTCAACGGGCCCGTCAGCTGCACACGGCATCAACCAAGTCCTGCAGGCCCATGGTTAAGCCCATGTCTGGCTCTAAGCTTGAGGCTGACATTTGGACTGTGTCCATCACCCTCTGGGTATGCAGACACCCTGGAAGCTTTGTGAACACAGGGAGATAAAATTTAAAATCTTAAAGTTCTATCATTCCGAAAGTATTCATTTTAAAGGCTTGGCGCGGGGGGGCGGGGGGAACCAACCTCTTGCGATCCAGGACTAAAAGATGACAGACAGCACCTTGATCTAGACCCCATTCCTAGTTCTCAGTTCCTCTGAATCGTTGTCTACTTGGGGTGCACAGAAAGGAACCAGGCTGGATTTAGGGCCACACAGCCCAAGTTAAACAGATTATCCTTGCTTCCCCAACAAGGATCCCAGCTGCCGACCCTCACTCAAGCACCCTTCTTAGGGACCTAGCATCCAGCCCAATTGGGTGTGGGAAGAACCGAAGGCATTAAGGGATGCAAGTGTTTAGAAAGAACCCTGGGGAGGATGAGCAAGAATATCATAAGAATATGAGCAAAGAGGTCAAGACCATGATGGGTACACCCACTGAAACAGCTTCCCTGAGCTAATGGAAGCTCACCAACACCAGCCAGACTGGGAAGGAACAAGCATCAGACCAAACTAGTCCCTCTGAATATGGTTGATAGTTGCATGGCTGGGGCAGACTATGAGGCCACTGGCAGTGGCACCAGGATTTATTCCTACTACATGTACTGGCTTTTGGGGAACCTCTTCTCTTTGGATGGATACCTTGTTCAGACTAGATATAGCAGGGAGGGCCTTGGACCTTCCCCAAAGCAATGTGCCTTACCCTCTCTGAGGAGTGGATGAGGGGTTGGGGTGGGCTGGGGTGGGAGGGTATGTGGAGGGAATGGGAGGAAGGGAGGGAGTGGGAACTTGGATTTGTATATATAGTGAAAAAAGACAGGTTTTTTTTTATTAAATTTAAAAAGAGAGAACCCTGGAATGCCAGTGCCCTGACTCAGTGTGATCCCTAGACCAATACTGGCTTTTCAGTTCTGGCAGACTGGCTAGTGGCCCTGCAGATGTATGGAGTGTGACAAGAGGCTAAGACCTTCTTGGTTTCTGATGCAGTGTTGGTGGTAGAAGCAGCTGAAGAACATACGTGTGTGTAAATGTGCACACAGGCTGGGCATAAAAGTCTCAGGAAAGTCACTGTCCTGGCTGGCTCTGCCCAGACACACCAGGCTCCTAGGAGTCATTCAGTCAGCTGTCTGTGCTCTCAAAGGGTAAGGGAAGATCAGCATGGCCCCAGGAGAAACAGCAAAAGTAATACACTAAAGCAGTAAACCTGGACATTTGCCACCTAGGAGGGCCAGCACTGGACTCAGACACACATCCATGGAGCAAACCAGATGCAGCAGCAAACCTTGGGGAGGCCTTGTCTGTCTAGCCTCTCTATGACAAGGACCCTCATAAAAGTGACCATACTGTGTGATTGTGTGTGTTTTCTCAGTCAGTCCATTTCAGATTGGCTGCCAGGAGGCTCAAGAATGCTTGGGTTCTATAACAGAGTAGGTTTAGACCACTGTTGTTATACTTTGAATGTAAAATGTCCAAAGCTGCCCAGTACTCATCCCTAGACTTCCACATCCACCCAGGATCAGCACCTGTGTTGAGCTGAGGTTCAGACCTGCTGAGACACTAAGACAGGCTTTCTGGAACTTGGGAGCCCATGCTGGAGAGCCAAGATCCCTATGTGCCTGGGCTCAGTAACTCAGGGGAAGCTCTGGGCTCTGTTCTTGGTTCCCCCTTTTCACAGAGTCAAAGGCTGTCTCATCCATCCTCACCACGAATGCCTGGAACTCAAGTTTTGTCCCTATGAGGAGGATGGTGGAGCATGTCTAAGCTACACTGTCACAGGGAAGAGAGGCTGCCAGAGACTCCTGAGGTTGGTGACCTAAGGAGGGGTTTACTGCTTGTGACTCTGAAGGCAGGACTGTAGGGATAAGCCCTCCCCTTGGGGGCGGGCTGCCCTCAGGCGTATGTTTACTGATATAGTGCGCGGGCAGAGGCTGCGCGGGCCCTTCCGCTTGCTCTCCTGTTTCCGCTGGCTACCCCGCTGGAACCTTGGTTTTGTGAGTCTGTTTTGTTATTAAATTTGTTTAAATATCAATTATTGGTGATTTATTGATCCGACCGCTGCACAGGACCCCAGGCACTTTCATACTTGATATGTGTACTGGTAGTGGTGGGGCCTTGGAGGACTACAAACTGCTTCCATGTTCATTCACCATGGACCCCACAGCTCCTTTGCCTCCTAAAGTCCCACACTTATTTTTTGTTGTTTTCTGTAGTGTTGAAGGGGCCTCCCATGGCTAAACAAGGGTTCCACCATTGAGCTGTACTCACAGTCCCCTTTATTGAGACAAGATCTTGCTCTGTTCCCCCAGGTTGGTCTCAAATTTGAGAACTGAAGTAATCCTTCTGCTTCTCCTTCAGCTTCTAAGTTTCTGGGACTCTGTGTGTGCATCACCATGTCCACTGCTCTACACCTAAACATCATCACACCAAGGTCCATCTGTATCAGAAAGGACATCACCCCCCAGCCACAGCAACTCACCTTTGTGTCTGATCACCTAGGAATGAAGTGTGTAAAGGGTGAGTTAACTGACCCAGGGACAGTGGACATTTATAAATCCTGCTAATGAAGAGGTGGCAATTCCTGGCCAGGGCTCCAAGTGTGTCGGCAGTCAGGAAGGACCCTGTAGTGGCTCCCTGTGGCTGGCTATCATTTGCACCTTGGTCTCAGGTGTCCTTTCCTGAGGTGTCAGTGATCACTGGTGTTGGTGAGGGAAGGGTGGGCCTTCCACCAGTGTCGACCCTCTCTTCCTCCACCAGGTCTCCTCAGAACTGATCAGAGCCTCTACATGTAAGGCTTAAAGTGGGTGTTACCATCTGCACATCCTCCCCATCAGGCACAGATAAAGTTGGTACCCTCATGAGTCCTTGGACTCTCTGCCCAGTCTAAGCCCCTCTTTGCCTCTCCTGGGCACCCCTGGCTGGGCTGTTCTCCACATCAATGACCAGGGAATACTTACTTTGCCTGTGCATGGCCAGCCACTGAGCACTTTGCCCCGGGACCTACGGGAACCCTCCCTCCTCTGCAGCCCTGCCAGATTTCACGTCCTTCCTTCGAATTGCATGTCCACCCCTTGCAAGGGTGAAAGGGTCGGGGAGAGAACTAAACAGATCCTCCTGCCTGGAGGAGCAGGTGCTGAGAAGGACTTGGTATTCCTTCTGGAGGAACACAGAAACGCAACAGACCCTTGAAAGAAACGTGGTTAAGATGAATGGATAAGGAACATGTGGTACATTTACACAATGGAGTACTACACAGCAGAAAAAAATAGCAACATCTTGAATTTGCAGGAAAATGGATGGAGCTAGAAAACATCATATTAAGTGAGGTAACCCAGACAAAGAATTATCACATGTACTCGCTCATAGGTGGTTTTTAAACATAAAGTAAAGAAAACCAGCCTACAAACCATAATCCCAGAGAACTTAGACAACAATGAGGACCCTTAGAGAGACACACATAGATCTAATCTACATGGGAAATAGAAAAAGGCAAGATGTCCTGAGTAAATGGGGAGCGTGGGGACCTTGGAGGAGGGTTGAAAGAGGGAAGGGAGAGGCAGGGAGGGGAGCAGAGAAAAATGAAGAACTCAATAAATATCAGTTTAAAAACCTACAAAAAAAGAAACGTGGTTAATATTAACCAGGGAGTCCCCAGACATTGGTATGA